TGGTCATGGTCATGGCCCTTGTTCGGTCGGTCAAGTTCAAGCCCTGGCTAGAGCAGAACACGCAATCGCAATAAGAGGATTTAACGTCAGACATGATTGACGAGATGAGATTCAACGGGGAAGGGGAAAACATGAGACTGAAAAAGGATTAATGCCGACTGGACAGGAAGTTGTATGCGACTAGCCACTAGAATAATACGTAGACACAAAAAGTCAATCAAGCTTCAGGAGATTAACAACAGCCCAAAAGAGAAAGAGGTCAAAGCAAAGCCAGTAAATAACCCATCATTTACCCGTCAGCCTGTGGACTTTTGTCTTGTCTTGTCTTACAGTCTGTATGTTGCGACCCGATATTGATGTTGGGTTGAGTTGGGTTGTGCTCTTCGGAACAAGGTCTCGGTTCGCAATCATCAGACGGCCCCGGTGAGTGATCCACCGGACACCCGATGCTCTCCACTCTTGGAGGCCCCTCCCAAGGACCTCCTCCGGTTGAGGTTACGGGGCATCAACAGGCGCTACTGTTTTTTAATGAAGTTATTATTGGGTGTTTGATCACTGTAAATGGGGTCGTTGAGACTGAGTTTGCAACTTTTTTCTTATTTTTCTCATGTGAGAAATCTGACTTGCTTGGAGCTTTACTAAAAAACCCCGTATTGTACGGATAATGATCCGCAGTTGGTTCATCAAAGAAAGACCCTTACGCGTCGTGTTAACGCAGTGGATTCGGTTGCACGGTTCATGATCAGCAACCATAAGATACTGTTCTTGATGCTTCGCAATTCATTGTTTACATACAACATCAACCAAATACCTGATCAACTCCGGTGACGGAGGTTTAACAAACTGCAGGAGAATAAAGAATTGCATCAGCGCTTAAACTAGTCCAAAGTGGACGCTCATTATACCAAGTTGAGCTTAGATGCTGTTGGTTTTGTTTTCGTTCCTTGTGCATTAACATAAAATCTGTGGAGTCTCGTGGGGCCAGGTACCATCTGCATGCAACTCGGCAAATATCACAACTTATACCAGAAACGAAATCCCACGATAGTCATGTCTAGATCAGAATCTTATGATATCTGGGCTCTTTTACTTGTTTCCATATATACATACAATTAAATCACCGATAAGAAGAGAAATCATACCATCCGTCAACGGCCCGATCCTTTAAGGCCGAAAAAGGGGCATCTGTATATCATGCAGAGAGCGCCAGTTTGGGACCATGTTGTTGTCCCTTACTGGGTCCAGGGTCTTCGATAAACGATGAACACGCTGTCTATCAACTGACCTGAAGTTTGGTATCATCAATAACGGAACAAACGGCGTCAATATGCATTGCTTGCTTCATCGGCAGGATGACTAGACTATCACATTGGAGAAGAGTACGCATCAATGGTTGGACAGAGAAACGATGACTCCACTATGGCTGCCGTTGTATTTGCTTTTGCAGAGATTGGATCGATTTCAACATCCATCATCTTGCGTCTCACATCCCATCGTTGATACGGTGAGCTGCATTATCATCTTTGCGCGCTTGGGCTTTGGCTTGGTCTAAGATACGGTCAGGAAGACTGCAGCCGCCACTTTGATTTCTACTGAGGTAAACTCATGGTTACAGTTCACAGCATTAGTTTATCTTCGTAAACAACTGCAGTATTATAAAGATGCACTTTTGGCTTACGGAAAGCAACCGTAATAGGATGCTGCTGGTTACCTCACCGACGGTTACTCCAAGGGAATGGAAATGAGTGTCAGACGGTGTGTGATTATTTAGGCGCCACCGTTTTTCCCAACGTTTGTCCATTTCAAGCCAGTCCAGCCCAGATGTAAGATGAGCGAGACAAGATGAAGAGCTATTACGTATCAGATGCATATAGCAACCAGGGCCTTTATTGGCATCAGCCATTTTGTTAGTTTAGTGAGAATAGATGTGTTTCGAAATGGGCAATAAGTCATGCGCATCTCTTTCTCTCTGATACATGATACTGCACTTCAGACGAGAATCACATCAACAGCAATACTTGTTGACCCTATCCGTAGGTTTCATTTGCCGTTCGTTCCCCGGGCCCATGCATAATATAACATGACTGCATGGGTGTTCTTTGGACTCCGCCTCTCTGGGTCAGACGAAAACTAGGAATGTCTCCCAATTCAATAACTCGACAATGTATCAGAAAGGAAAAGAGAGAGAGAGAGAGAGAAAAAAACAAAACAACATGTACGTACATACGTACATTCTTCCGACTTTGCCCGAGTGGATGCCCCTACTAGCCCCGTGCCCCATGGATTGAGATGGCCCCTACTCCCGCGGGTCGCTCTTGCGTTGCTCAACACCCCCGGCCTCAAGCCGGCTTCCCGAATGGGAGATCCACTGGCTCTTCCCCCAGGAAGAAATATGCATTTATCAAGTTAATCGATAGATGGAACCCAGCGGGGAGGCAGCGCTAGCAGGGGCAGACGGGGATGGGTCGGGCTCGGGTACGCCTAACCTCTAGAGGTTCAAGGTCTCTGGCGTCTCACCACGGAATCTCCAGGAAGGTGAGCTCCACTTGATGGATTTTTTTTTTTCTTTGCTGAGGGTTTCTTCACCTTCACCTGAGTTCCACCCTGGTCCCTGGCTAATTGATTCAAGGGGTTTCTCTTTTCTCTTTTTTTCCCTTCTCTGTGATTGTATTGGTAATCAGTTACTCTCTGTTCTTTGTTGGGCAGGCAATAGTTTCTTACAGAACCTATCCATGACAAAATCTTCTTCACCGTAACTTGAGTCATTCGAATCAAGAAAAAGAATTTGTACAAACAAACACTCTACTATAACTAAATTCGTCCAAAGTAGCCCGCCTATTGGATGTCATGCCGTCACCCCGCATTTGTCCATCAACCGGGACGTCCTTGACTCCTTGTTGACTCGTCTGGACCTGGCTTGTCTAGATCGGGTCTGACAATGCCAATGCCAAAGCAAAACGTCCAACAAAATTATGCGACTGAACTGAAACTCAATGACACCTCAGCACAACAACCTCTCACATGCTATCACAAGCTCAAGCCACAAAGTCTTGATATCGTATAGAATATTTCCGGACAAGTTTCGGCTTTTTAATGGTGCCGTAGTCTTTTGTTGATCTGAGGATACACAGCATCCATCAATGTTACCCTGGAGGTTTCGGTAGATACTCGTGCTGATCGACCTCTCATCCGCATCTACACCTCTAAAATTGAATTCGATGCGGGAAACTCTCCGCAACCCCGAAATGTATATCCCATTACTTTGGCATGGGGTTTTCGCGGGGTATATGTCGGTATCACGGTGTTTGCACCGGGGTAGCACATCACAGTAGACCAGCTTGCATATGACGAGATGCCAACCAGCTCAGCTTTGAACACTACGAGGAAAGGCTAGTTTAACCGAAGATGAGATCAAATCAGGCCATTTCGATAGTCTATGAACCGCGACGGTAGAAGCGTAGTCTATGCAATCACTATGGAGACTCATAACAATGAATGTTGAATAAGCCCTGAGTATCCGAGATATCAACGAGATCTCTTAGCAGGTGGCTGAGGCCAGATCAGCTCGGCTTAGGAAACCGACAACTCTTTCTGTTGGGAAAGATAAACCCCTGCTGATCTCGGCTTGTACCATCGACGAAACAATGCCATCTCATCAAGAGCCGCACAAGGAGATAGGGTCATGTATCCTCAGTCCTCCATGTCTGCCCGGCTTGCCTCGGTCCATCCAAGCTATCTCATCACTGGACAATATCACGTCCCTGTGTTATGATGCTTTGTCACAAAGGCAAATACACTGAGTATCATATGCCTGCCGCATAGTTTAGTGAAATATCCAACTACTAGGTACAGTGGTAGACCGGGGTAGCTTCAGCTGCTCACCACACACCTCAAGCTCCTCGACATCCACATCCACATCAATATGGATATCGACAACCTCTACAGCTTCTCCATGTTCCTTTCCTCCGGCCTTATGGAAACAAAGCACACTCCCTGAGCTCTTGAAGAACGAGCTAGCTACCCCGCCTCACGTGTTTTTGACTTTCAGGAACATTTCTGCAGGTTATTATTTCTAGAATCGGTAATACTCATCCATCACTTACAAATGAGGCTTCTTTCAACACACAACCATAATCAAGACCTCAGAATAGGTACAATACACCCCTCTAGCAAAGCCCATGTTTCACTGACAATCCCAGGGAATATCAGAGGCGTGTATTCTCCAGATACATATCTACTTTTAGGTAAATTTAGTACCCCATGTCCACTCACGGACAGGTACCGAGGGTGCGGCTCCGTGCTAAGCATGTCGACTCCATAACCGCACCACCTAGACTATGTACTTGTATCACCCAGATTCTTCAATATCTGGGGAAATTCTCCTGGGGTTCTCTTCTTGCCGTTCGTCCTAGCTTCTAATCTACCCACATGTCTGGAGATCAGTGTCTCCGTTCCCCCAGATTCACTTTTCGGCACTCTGTCAAACCTTGTCCCTGGCGCCACTACGGCTTATGACTCCTGACCTTGTCATATGCCATTCAACTTGCAACTACACGGGGTTTTCTGGATAAAAGTCTCCAAAAAAGAGTCATCATCTACCGATACCGGTCGTCAGTCATTTCATACCTTGATGTTCTACAGCACGTGGTCCAACAGCCTCGGCAAGACAAGCTGTACTTGAACGTGCATGCATAATCATTCACCCTCATTTCCTCATGACTGAATAGAATAACATGAACTTTTTGTTGTTATTTCACACGGTAATTATAGATAATCACAGATAAATACTATGATACATATGCAGCCACTGAATTAATGAAGGCTGTGTTTCAGTGATCATATCAGCTCATATGCCAATGCCCGCTGGCTTCTTTTTACTCCCAAACACCAACCATTACCCATATCTTCAACAGAGCTATCAATAAATAAATGCATCTATCCCCTTACTCTATCCCTGTCCTATTCTCCTGCCCATGACATCTCTTCCCTTGCAAGTCCACTCATTTGGCGTTTTCTTTACCCGCCTCGGTCACCTTCCGTGACGCCGTCTCGATCTTGTTCATAGCGCTGTCATCCTGGAGGCTCCACCAGTGCCGCAAACCCTTGGCATATTCGATCTCTTCTGGGGTAATTTCGATAGGTGGACCCTTGACTTGGCTGAGAATTTGTCCATCATTCGGCTTGGACACGGCCCATGACGATGAATCTTCTGACCGGATGCCGAAGTCGCGGCCTTTCATCGACACCACCTTGAACCGTCGGAGGAGGATGACATCTCCACTTTCAACTTCCGGCAGCGATGTCAAGTGGGGCCGGAATATATGGGCCACACGGACTTGGGTCGGTGCCGTCGAAGGATCAGTCAGGCTCAAGGTGAGCATAAAGTCCCGAGGACCATGTTTCGGTCGGTGCGGTTGCGGCGGTGTTTGTGTCACCACTGCGAGAACATCCGTCATCTTGTTGATATTACCTCTGAGGCTCTTAAGCGACAGAAAGTCAGGCAGGTCTACCCTCAACGTTTTAACTAGCCGTAGTTTGAGAGTCTTGACGTCCTCTTCAACATCCTCAGGTACGGTAGCAAAAGACCCGGCAATCGACGGAGACTTTAGTGAGGCGAACGATGCATCAGGGGAATCTTCTTGTAGTTGGAAACTTCGTGACACTGAACGAGTCTCGCGCCTAGGTGTCTCGTGCTTCGGGTCTGGTGTTCTGTGGCTCCTTGTTTGCCGAGTTGAGGGGCTTGATCCTTTCGCAAGCAATATGCTGGGATCGCCATGGTCATGTCTAGATCGCAGCACTCGCTGAGATCCAGGTGGACTGTTGTCCACACTAGCGATGCTTTCATCATCTGTTGCCTTTTTCTTCCGCTTATTTTTTATCTCTGCCTGCACTGAAGCGCCTGCTAATTGAATGCTGGGGTCATCGCGGTCCACACTTGTGACACTTTCATCATCCGTTGCCTTTCTCTTCCGCTTATTTTTTGTCTCTGCCTGCCCTGAGCCACCTGCTAGCTGAATACTGGGATCATCGCGATGAGTTCTGCTGCGAGTTCTGCTGCTTGGCCTGGTCGAGGCCGGACTACTATGCTTGCTGCCACTATCCACAGGTCCTGCAGCAGGCGTAGCTGTTATCAATGCCATGCTGGGGTCGTCTTGATCATCGTCATCAGGTTCTCCGTTGTGCTTATGGCGCCGAGACCGTAAAAGTTTGGAAGCAACAACCTCAGACGCTGGATCAGACTGTGAAGCTGACTTCCCTTGCGCTCCTTTGGGCTGCTCCGTCTGGGTAGGCGACTTGCTTTTTGAAGCCGTAGGAGAGAACGTGGTAGGGTCTATCTCTAGGTGCGTATCCGGTCGAACCGGAGAATGCTGCAGTATCTCAGACATTATTTGATCTTCTGGATCTGCATCCTCTTCGTCGCTGTGATTTTCGTCCGTGACAGTTTGTTGTGTGTCAAGCACCTCCGGTTCGATCCCTTGCTGTGTCTCGCCAGGAGTAGGAAGATGCTGATCGTGCTCATGAACTGAAACGTGAATGCTATCTTGTACGGTCCGTTCTTGGGTAATTTGGGTAGGTGGCGGCGAGAGCTGTCCATCCTTTGTAGACTGTTGCTCGGCGTCTTCTTCCACAACCTCGCCGATGGGTTGTTTCAGGGCATCGCCAGACGAGACGTCCTGCATGACAGCATCATGAGATTCGGATGATTCCTGAATCTCACTCACTGCTTCCTTATCTAAATTTGCGGTAGCACCCTCCAAGGACGAGGCCCCGACTGAAGCTATCTTTGATGGCTTCGCACTGTCTTCCGAGATCGTGTGTAGTTGTGTGAGCGATTCTTCCTGGGTCACCGTGACTTGAATACTTGCTGAGTTCTCTTCTTGAATATCATTCATCGTAGTTTGCGCCTCCTGGCTGACAGCAACAGCGTTCTCAGCGAGCACGAGTTTCTCAGTTTCCTTTGGTTCAGCAGTTTCTTGCAGGGGTACATCAGGCGCCGCATCAACATCCATAGCTTTGGTAGTTTCCTTAACAGCAAGCGCTGTCTCACTAAGTGAGTCCATTTTCTTGGATTCTTCGAGAGTGATATATTCATCCTCAGGTTCTTGAGATGATTCCTTCGGAGCAGGTGTGTCCATCTCGATGTCCTCTGATGCTGCGTCTACCAGCGTTGATTTCTCTTCGGCTTTCTGTGCTTGTTGGGGCTGGCCACCCGTCGTCAAGGATTCTTCCTTGGCAGGTACATCAATAGATTGCTGTTCCTTCTCAACAGATCGCTCGTTTCGGGGTGGGCCGTCGTCTTTCGTAACTTTGTGTGAAGGCTGAGGTTCGGCCGTCTCATCGTCTGCCTTTCCTCCAGATGCTGCCAGTGGCTTCTCCTTTTCTACATTCTTTGGGTCCGCTGCTGCCTCAACTCCTTGTTCTGATTCACCTTCTTCGGAAGCTTCAGACTCATGTTCTTCCTCCTCCTCCTCCTCCTGCTGCTGCTCGTCTTCATGTTTCACGGCTTCTGGTTCAACCTTGGGTGGCTGTTCGTTCTCATCTTCAGAGTCTGATAGCAAATCGATGAAAACAGGCTCTCGAGTGGCAGGCACAGCAGGAGGGCGCGCTTGTGAACCCCCTTCGTCATCTTCTTCATCATCATCAGTGTAGTCATCTTCCTCTGAGTAGTAGTCACCTTCCGCATCATCTTCGGAACCCTCGTAGTCTTCCTCATCGCCACCGAATCGTTCATACGTCTCTTCCCCATACTCATCAGAGGCTTGGTCAAGGTAGCCCTCTTCATTTACAACGTCTTCATCGACATCTTCATCATCTTCGTCAGGGTCCAGAATTTGTGTCTCGGGATCGCCATTATTCAGATCCGGGTCTTCTTCAGATGTATCTACGTCATCGTCATCGTCGTGCGTGCGGGAGTATTTTCTGAGATCGTAATCATCCCCAGGTTCGTCACCACCGTCACGATAACGCTCAACCTCACTTGCCGGATCCTCGAGCGTCGGTTTTGGCGATGCATTGGCTGTTACGTCCATATCCGTGTTTTCTCTCGAAGGTGATATCTCGCGATCTGCACTTGACTCTCTTGATGGAGACGAGCTTAGAATTTCTACCGGATTCTCAGCGTCGCTGCTAGCGTTTGCGGAACGTGATCCGGGTAGCATCTCAGTAGCCCATGGGTTTTGGATCGGCTGAGCAGCAGTCGCGAAAGCCGGGTCAAGAGCTGATTCTGTGGCAAAAGGATTGTGTTGACCTGCGACGGATTGCGATCCATGAGCGGTGAACCCCATAAGCGTATCCACGGGATTAGAAAGATCTGGGTCACCCTCCAGAAGCGCGGCCGGGTAATCTTCTGCTCCTGTAGTACGGCTGGGTGAGTTGGGGATATCGTTTTGTGCAGGGAACAGTCCTGGTTCTTGAGGGAAAAGTACAGTCTGAGGCGTGAAACTGAAAGCCATGTCTGTATCCATGTGATTTGGTTGTTGGTCCAACAGGCTTTGATGCGACTCGAGAGGTATGCCGTGTGGTGTTGTAGAACCGCCTTCGAAATGCATAGACTGATTCATGGTCGGGTTATCTGACTCGAATGGCCTCGTTCGAGCAAAAGGTGTTGGTGTCATCTGTGCAAAGCCAAAGCCTGGCCTTGCCTCAGCCAACACCTGGACACTTGCCATAGGCGTAAAATCCACATCTGCTGTCTGTGAGCCTTGGTCAACCATTGCCGGTCGGGATGGTGTATCCATAATAGGGTTCTCAATATCGCCATTCGCCTCGGGTTCCTCTTCGTCTTGCTCCTCGGGAACATCGTCGGGCTCAGGACTGGGAGATCGACTGGCATATCGCCAAGCGTTACCAGGTAGACTAAATCGCGAGCGCTTCTTCGACTTGGTTTTCTTGCTCACGTCGTCGTCAAACATATCCAAGCCTCCCTCAAACAGTGACCCATAGGATACACGCGCTCGCTTGAGAAAGGCGGGAGAGGCATATTCGAACGGTTCGAGGGTCGATGTAGCGTTTCGTTTTACAGGTAAGGTGAGCTCTGGGGTTGGCGGACCTGGTGTGGCCGGTTCCTCGGGTATGGTATCGACAGGGTCGATGTTCTGTGCCTGGTCGTTGACAGCAGTTTCGGGTTCTGCAGCTGGGGCATCGATATCGAGCAAAGTCTCTTTTTCCGTATCAGGTCGACGGATACCAATCACCAAGCGATTCGTGAATTCGAGTTGCCATGCTATAGTGCTTCCTGCGATCTGTGTCTGCGTCTCGTTCTTCTCCCAATGACCACCTTCCAGGCTCACACGAATGTCGTCTCCTGCACCCAACGATGCTTCTGATATCGCCTTAGCGGCCGCGCCGTGGAACCGTACGCGTACTTGGCCATTTTCGCGTCGAAGGCGGAAGTCACGCTCGGCCAAGAGGAATGCGATAGACTTGGTCAAGATACTGAAAGGCCATGTGATGGTTATCGTTCCGTATATAACTCGGTTCTCTTGTCCGGAGGATTCTGGATTCAACTGCGCAATAGGTATAGCCTCGCCCTGATCAAGCAGGGAGTTTGTGGGTTGAGGTTCGGCCATGGTGACCTTGTCGCAATATTGGTCGCGTCGGCGAGGATGCGCAAAGACCTGGGAACCTAGACGATCTAGGTTGATTTATCTGCGCATGTATAACCCCCAAGCCTTTGTTATTATCAATTCGAGATTCGGAATTATTGCATCGCGTAGTTTGCAGTTGGCGATGTCTTTGGCCGTATGCGACTTGTTGGTCGGTTTGCGGTTTGAAGTAAATGCTAAATTGGCTTGGAAGCTCCCAAGGAAGGAGGAAAGCTACCAGCTATGCTGTAGTGGGGATCATGCCAAAACTGGAAGGCGGTCAGACAGCACGATGCTCTATCCTCTTATCAGTCTGTCATTCTTCATTACTAGCATCAAGGTATCAAAAGAATTGACCGTCGAGAGCATAAGAAACGAAATATTTCGATGACTTTATGATAACTTATACTAGGTCTTAGTCTACTTTACCTCTTTTAGCACCCTAAGCTTTAGAGGATAATTTTTCTGTTGCCCAGTAGCCAGGTCGAATGCGCGGGATTGCCTTCCAATTAGAATTCTCCGAGACGCCCTGCCGTCTATTAACAGTTACTCAACTGAGTGATTCGATAGAAGCACCTAAGTTAGTCTCCATAGGCACTTAGTTTATAGAATCGACACTGAGCTGAGTTGAAATAGTTCCACTCCCCACTCAGAAGGAAGAGAGGGCAAGCAGCTCTCCCGATTACAAACCTACGGACTTGCATAGACGCGAAGGGATTAACCATTGGCTTCTATTGTCACATTAAACAGATATATTGTGTTTAAGGCTGAAGTTTACCTTGTCTCTACGTTTATATTATATTACATTCGATTCTGAAATGGGCTCTCTGACTCAACCTTTGTCTTTCGACGTCAACAGAGTCGCCATTATTGGCGCAGGTCCAGCTGGAATTGCTGCTGCGAAATACCTCACAGCACAAGGTATCCAAGACATCACGATATTCGAGCAGCAGGACCATGTCGGTGGTATTTGGCGTTATTATGGGTTTGCCCCTGGGACTTGCCCTGTCCCTCAAGAGGATCCCTATTGTCCTCCAGACGAGCCTCTCCTGTGGGACTCGACATCAGTGCCAATATTCACATCGCCTATGTACGAAAACCTTCACGCTAACATCCCGAAGGAAGTCATGAACTTTTCTGACCAGCCTTTTCCCGACGATGCCAAGCTGTTTCCAGAAAGGTCTATGATTGAGGACTATCTGATCAAGTACGCTGAGGATGTCAAGCCTTTGGTCCGTTTCTGTCAGCGTGTTGAGAGGGTCTCATTGAAGCAACAGGATGGCAGAGACAAATGGGAGGTGGGAACAAGATCGACCATGAATGACCACGGCATTACTACTTCGATTTTTGACGCCGTTGTCGTTGCAAACGGTCACTACTCCACACCATATGTACCCGACATGCGGAACATCAAAGCGTTCAATGATGCGTATCCTGGAGTAATTACCCACTCAAAGCAGTATCGTACGCCCTACACGTTTAAGAACCGCAAGGTAGTCGTGATTGGAAATGGACCGTCCGGTCTCGATATTGCCCTGCAGATCAACCAAGAGTGCAGAAAGCCTTGTCTACTGTCGGTGCGGCACCCCACGGCTCCAGATCGCCTGACGCACTCTGGATGCGAGGAGACGGCTGAAATCGAAGAATTTCTGGTGGAAAAGAAGGGAATTCGTTTCAAAGATGGCCGGATCGAAACAGAGATTGACGCTGTTGTCTTTTGCACCGGTTTCCTCTATAGTTATCCATTTCTACAGGATTTAGACCACAAGCTTGTTACATCAGGCCGGGGTGTTCACGGTCTATATCAGCATGTTTTCGACATCCGGCACCCAACTCTCGTCTTTCCTGGGCTCAACATGAAAGCAGCCCCTTGGCCACTGGTCGAGAGCCAAGCCGCTCTCTTTTCAGCGGTATGGTCTAATGACCTCGATCTTCCGTCACGGGAAGTGATGGAGGCTTGGGCTCTGGCTCTAGAGAAGCAGGAAGGAGAAGCTTTACACGTATTTGGTCCCAATGGGGACGGTACATACATTAACAAGCTACATGATTGGGTTATGACAGCTAAGCGACTAGGCAAGGAGCCGCCATTCTGGAATGATGAGCTGATGTGGCAGCGCAGCGTGTTCCTCGATGCCAAGGCGAAATTCGAGCAACTTGGCTGCAGAGCGACAACACTGGAGGAGGTTGGCTTTTACTATAAGGCTGGCGCCCGAAAGGATGTAGGGCACCAGTAGGAACGAACTATGAGTCAGGCGGTAAAAGTACACCAGAGTTCCAGATATATTCTGCCTACCCTAGACGGTTTTGCTGGCATTGACTGGTGGTAAGGGCATAATGACAGGGGTCTATCTGCACCATTTGACAAGGGGTTCGAACAGCACTTGGCTTTCACACAAACTCGGTCAGTTCTGGATAGGAAAAGTCGGGGAAGGATCCGAGGTATAATGGTGCTTTGATGGTGGATTGAGAGGTCAGAGGAGAAGTCGGTGTCGGATTTGTCATGCAAACTGGATCCAACATCTGGCGGCAACTCCGCCGTCTGGAGACACGCTTCGATGCATAGAACAGCGCATCGAAACAACAAGGGTAGCGTTCGTTAGTGGATATATGCCATCGTCAGGATAATGCGTTGGCGATACATGAGGCAACGTCGAGACTACTTGAGGAGGAGAATAGAACATGCATTCTTGTTTTTCTTGTGAATTTTTTTCTTGTTCCAAACTTCCTCTTCTACTGCATTCTCATTACCTGACCTTTGACACCATCAGTTTCTCATAAGTCAACCTGAAGAGGTCTTCATCATGGCATCGTCCAGATCTGATAGTACCGCCTCGTCCATCACCGCGACAAAAGGTGCAGCTCGCAAGACATTGCCTCAGCCAAAAGACTTGTCACATCTTTTCTCCGTCGTGGCCAGAAATCGAGAATCAAGCGAAATCAAGGCTTTCTACAAATTTATGCAGATTCCGGGCATCAGCAATTTTGCTGGAGGTGAGTCAATCCAAGCTTCGGCGGCTGATCCATTCTAACAAGCGACATAGGAATGCCAAATGTGAAATACTTTCCACTCGACACTTTGGAAGCCCAAATAGCGAAACCAGACCGATGGCAACCTTCAGCCAATTATCCGGATCAAATAAAACCGCCAACGTTAGAGCCTGTGATGTCCTCGTCTTCCAGCATTAGTGGCTTCATCAACAACCAGATTCAAAAGGCGGGCAAGAACATCCACAAAGATTCCGACCACAGCAAGACATCGTCATCGCGAATTACAATACCCAAGGTTGTTCAGGAAATAGACCCCACCAAAAGAGTCGACCTTGCCACGGCCCTTCAGTATGGGCAAGTCACTGGCTACCAGCCTCTGCTCTCCTTCATCAAGCAGTTCACGAATCAAATCCTCTACCCAGATATTCCCTACAAGGGTGGAGTAGATGTCATTCTCAGCAGTGGAAGCACGGACGGATTCTCAAGAGTCCTCCAGCTCCTGGTTGATCCCTGGTATGAGGGACTACACCCTCCCACCGAGAGACAAGGCATGCTTTGCGAAACCTTTGTGTTTGGAAATGTCATCACACAAGCGAAGCCTCTAGGGATCAACATTGTCCCTATTGAGACTGATGAGGAAGGCATGGTGGCTGAAGGCCCTGGTGGTCTGAGAGAAGTGCTTGAGAACTGGGATCCTCAGAACGGCCTTCTACCGCATTTCTTATACACAGTAACGTAAGTCATCCCGAAGAAAGACTCAGTGATGTCCATATGCTAACTTGATACCTTAGAATGGGAAACAACCCCACAAGTGGCGTTATGGGAATAGGGAGAAGGAGAGAGATTTATGCGCTCGCAAGCAAGTTCGATATCATCATTGTCGAGGATGATCCATACTGGTTTCTCCAGTTCCCTTCCGCCGCGGCGCACGAAGCCAAGGCCAGAGGATATGGTGATTACCAGGAGATCAAAGTCCGCAAGCCAGTAAACCGATCTGGCTATGAATTCATTGATTCGCTCACTCGCTCATATTTAAGTATGGATGTTGACGGCCGAGTCATTCGTCTTGACACATTCTCCAAGACAATCGCTCCTGGTACCCGACTAGGTTACATCACTGCTCAACCTGCGATCATAGAGCGTCTTACAAGGTATGGCAGTCCTCTCCTTCTCTTCATGATATCTTTTACAGTACTGACTCTCCGCTTATAGAATCGCTGAGACCGGCTCTGGCCAACCTTGTGGCTTCGCCCAAGCACTTGTTGCGCAAGTCATTTTGGGTCCGCACTCATCTACCCTCCAGAAGTTCTTCTCCCTCCCATCATCAAGGAAATCCTCGTTCACCGGCTGGAAGGTCGATGGCTGGGTACGATGGCTAGAGGGCCTTCGTGGAGAGTATGAGCGTCGCATGATACGAATGTGTAAGGTCCTCGAAGAAAACGCATTCCAATTGAGTAGTTCTACACCCAGTTGCCCTGACTCTGAGTGGAACATCATTACAAAGACCCGGCTGATCGATTTCGATTGGCCTCGTGGAGGCATGTTCCTGTGGTTGAGAATACACTTTGAGAAGCACCCTCTCTACCAGACCCAGGGTGGCAAGCTAGCGCCAACAATCGACGGCCCTGCTCTTTCAAAAGCGTTTCTCATTCACAGCACTAAGGCGCCTCATCTAGTTGTGGGAAGCCCAGGTAGCATGTTCGGAGCTACACCCCAGATCCGGGATGAGCGTGGTTGGCGGTATGTACGCATGTGCTTCGCGGCGGAGAGTGACGAGAACATCGATGCTGGTTCATTGAGGTTCGCAAGAGCTGTACAGAGCTTTTTCGAGATCCGAGAAGCTGCGCGGATTGAAGAGTTGATTGATGAATTGTATAGTTAGAAGCGAGTGTTTGGACTGGACAGGCAAAACAGGATATCATAAACTGCCAGGACTTTTGATAAAGCATTATACCACAGATAGGATTGAAATTGAAACAAGAGAAACAAATCAGGAAGCTTAAGAATGTGTACATTTAGACGTAAACCAAAGCATTGTGATTCGCTGTAAGCTTAACCAACTACTATACAAGTGAGGAATTAAATATTCCATCGTAATACACAAACTCAATTGATCATTTCAACCAATCAATGTACATGGATGAACAAACCAAAGAATGATATCGCTGTCGGTAACAACTACAATTTCACAACTGCATACTTGTTGATGATGCGAATGGTAAACCACGACATTTCACGTCAAATCGCAACATGTTTCACAATTACAATTACAATGATTGGCATAGAGTTAAGGAACCAATGCCGAGTCTGGCTGTAATTCATATCAAATCTCTGATTCATTTTTAAGAGAGCTCAACCTTCAGAGAAGCCATTACGCCTCAATATCAAACCATGCTAGACCCGTCATTTAATTCCGTCGAAACCCGCTGCACACCCAGCAAGTCAAGTAATTTTTTAGTTCTGCTTCTTCTGAGACTCCTCAGCGAAGACCTTGGCGTAGGGGTTCAGGCGAAGCATGACCTGCTTGTTCTTGAGAGGGTTCTTCTTCTGGACAGCAGATCGGCGAGTGACAGCATCTCCCTTGGGGGCGTTGAGGGAGCTCTGGATTTCAGAGCTGTTGATCAGACGGGTGAGATCGGCCTGAGAGACAACGTTGGAGGGGAGGAGGAAGTCACGCTTGTGGGCGGAGGCCTCGGTGGTAGAACCGTAGATATCGTCAAGAGCCTTGAAAGCGGCAGAGGTCCAGACGATGAATCGGCCGAGGTGACCACCAGGAGCAAGCTGGAGGAGGTTGAGAGCGGTAACGGAGCAGGTCTCAACACCGGTAATGTTGCGGAAAGCGGTAACGAGCTCCTTGCCATCGGTCTCGGGGGAGTAGATGACAAGAGGGCCACGTCGCTGGCGGTGGCGGCGGCCACGGAGCTTGCCCTTACCAGCACGGAGCTTCTTGGAGTTCTTGACCTTGTTGACGTCCTCACCAGCACCGACAGCCTTCAGGAGGCCGAGAGCAGCAGCGGTCTTGGTAATAGCGGCACCCTCGAAAACAGCGGAGTCGATAACCAGAGGAACCTCAGGGACGGAGTTGACCTGGTGTCCACGGGCCATGAGCAGGGGAACGGCAGCGGAGGCAGCCAGGGCAGAAACGACGGCGTATCGCCTATTTTTCGTGGTTAGACACCAAATTTTCACTAAATCTTCACACAACATCTCCCATATTCAACTTACTTCTGGTTTTGCGATACCTTAACGTGCCACTTGCGCCACGTCTTGGTAGGAGCAAACATACGACCGGAACGACACATGTTACCGAACGCAGCTTGACCAGCGCGATGTGTACCGCCGCCAGAAACACGGGGAATACGAGCAACAGCACGACCTATTTATCATGTGGTTAGCTAGTGTCCCTATCCGAGTTGTGGTGTTATCCCAAAAACGCAATTGAAGCTCGGATTTCGTCCAACGTCAGACCAACGGGAGACCGGGAGACGACGAGCTGGTCCAAAGTCCAAGCCAGAAGTACAACATGTTTCTATGCCCAGAGTTTGACAAGTGTTGCGGAGTCTTCGTGGTCGACTGATCGATCCTCCTCCACAATATCAAAAATTCACGTACCGGTACCCCAAGACTCAGCAGAGGTCTGGTGACCAGCCTTCTCGCTCACAGCGTAAGGCTGACGCTTGTTCTTGGCCATGCCAGTGTGAACCTGCTGAACGATATCGGGTCGGATAGGGCTGGTGAAGACAGCAGGAATGGCGTGGGTGGCTCCGGTGGCAGAGCCATCCTTTCCAAGGATGGTGACGGTAGGTCGCGAGGCCATTGTGAAGGTTGAGGTTGAACCTGTGATGATGCTTGAGTTAGAAACGATGCAAAGGAATTGCAGCAGCTTCGCGTTGAGATCTCACCTTGGGCGTCGTGCGGCGTCGAAATGGGTGATGGAGTGGGAGGTTGCAAGGCTCGCGAAAATTCACTGTAGAATATTTTGCACTCAATTTGGTGGGCGGAAGGAGAGACCCTAACTCTGCCCCGCTCTTTCTCAATTCGCCCAAAAGCGTCCACCACTTTTTAATGCTGGACACGTGACATTGAAGCTCCACTACCAAGGTAGCCTGCCTTTATGCTAGGTAAGCGAACGGCACGGACACAGTACAGAGAGACCATAGAGCAAAGATTGTGCTAGTGGACCAATTCGCACCACACTTCAGCCCAAAAGTTGAAGCGCCAATCACAAGACTGCATTATCTCAAAGAGAATACCTCAACGGCTTTTATATATATAATATTATCTCATTCTCATCATGGCTCATCCAAGTCGCTTCGTCGTAGCATACGTAAGGTAGTTACATATCTCGTTATGCCCCGTCTAGGTACTCCAAGATGCAGATATCCAAACCCAATTCCTAACCGTTTATTCCCACCTCTTCCATTCTTGAATGTACTTGTCCACCTGTTCTTCAACCCAATCCTCGTCATCATGCTTCGATCTCTCCAACTTGGCCAGCTTTTCGTGAATCATGGCCTCGACATCCATGCGTTCGAGTACCTTGGCCTCCAGGTACTTGGGATCATTCCATCGGCATGCCTTCTTGAATATCTCTCTCATCCGGCTGGAGTAGAGCTGGCATGTTGCAAGCGGTAGCTTCTGCGGCTTCATGTAGAAGTTACGAGCGATGACGTTATCATCCTTGATCGAGGGTTTGACCACTTCATCGAAGCATTCGCCACAAACCGTGAACTGCTGAAGGTATTGCATAACATGCCAGTGTCCATTGGCAATTGGCTTATCTTCCTGGCACTCGCTCACTGAAGCCATCTTCTCGACGTCTTGTGCAAGAGTCTTGACATCTGGCTCTTCTTGCTCGAGCCGAGCTTGATCTGACGTTGTTTCCAGCGCGTCAAAGTACATGACAAAACGTTTCCGTTTTGGCTTGAAGCGCATTGCGCAAAGTCCCCTGGTAGGTTCCGAACGGGAGTCGACAGGAATGAAGGTACCCGTGAGGTTGGGAAACAATGCATAAATTATCTTGACACATTGAGGACACACCGTAAAATCGTAGATGGGCTGTCGTGTGTATGGATTCCAGAGCGACTGCCAGTTGCGGGTGGTAACTCTGTCCCCCGGACATGGAAGCCCCTTGGTGGCAGCAACGGCGTTGGCAACTTCATGGAATAGTCGCAGATCAGGCAGCTCATTCTTCAAAGTGAGAAGCCATGCAATGCGGTACCACGGCCCGACACCAAAGTCACACGAAATCGCCTGGGAAGAGGGACGAAGCATAATCTGGAACATGTTTCGATACTGCGTCTTTGCAAAGACAGCACCATAGCAGTCCGGGCAAATGTTGAAATCCGTGCGAGGTAGTGTAAGCCAGTCCACCGAGCCTGCAACGGGATGCTTGCGGCGGCATTCGGGAAAGGTGGTAACACCTGTCACTTCCTGTTGTTCCGAGTGACGCCGAACGGATCCTACTGGCTTCTCGAGGCGAACGCCATCTCGAATGGGGTCAAATGCCGGTGGTTTCCAAGATTGTGTGGAAGGTGGAGGACGATTAGTCGATGGGAAAGCCGATGCAGGCCTAGACTCGAGTGATGCACTGGAGCCATTGGGAATAGGAGCTGGCATGCTAGGCATCGACACGACTGAGTCTTCCTCATAGCGAGATCGTGACCTGCCCACTCTTTCCGCATTATTCCGTACGTCAAAGGGGTCAACCAAAGGATCATCGTCCATGGGGTAAGGGAGCTCCGACTTTGGCCTTTCAGGAAGGGGGTGGTGATCCCTAGTGATTGGAAATGTTGAGGAGGGCCGTACGGGTGGAGGCACGTCGCCTGATGCAGTCGATCCATTTGGAATAGGGATTGGAAATGGGATTGGTATCGTAGGTCCTCGAGTCTTCTCTCTGGGACCGCTCGGTGCATCGATCTTTTCCAACTTTGGCTGAGAATCTCGTTCATCCTGCAAAACAACAGACTTCTTCCGTCTTGGATGAAGCTCTCGCGGGCCCTTGGGATGATCGTCTCCAGAACGACTGTCCTCGCCACGGTCGTCTCGTCGAGCTGTGGACTCTCTCACAGGCTCACGAGATGAGTATGTTGAGGATCGACCATACTCCTCACGCTCCGGTCTGGCGTAAGGGGGGGAGTTCTCTTTCCTGCTACCTCTTGATACATACTCGCTTCTGTAAGGGGGTTCCCCTCCAACTCTTTCTTTTGACAAAGGACGACTGGGCTTCTCTTCAACACGCTCTTTCGAAAGCGGGCGAGTTGAAGTATCACCGACTCTTTCCTTCGATAAAGGCCGGGTCGATTTCTCGGGCTCAACAGTTGTACGTTTTGTTGTGGATGCAGTTGAAGAGTTTCGAGTATGGCCACTTTCATACCGTCTTTCATTCGGTATACTGGAAGCAGTGCTGGGCCGAGTAGGAGACCTGCGCGCAGCATTCTGAGACTGTCCATAGTACGCTTGATCACGACCGCTGGCGCTACTCTTAATAATTTCGGGTGCCAGCGAGGGATCAATGGGAATTTTAGGGGGCCGAGCGGGAGGCTGTTCATAACGACTGCCAGCGGGCGCCGAAGGGCGAGTACGGTATTTCTCTGGTAACTGATCATCTCGAAACTCAGTTTCCAGTCGAGGCAAGTCTTGTCTGCTGCGTCGTTTCTCTAGGGGCGGTCTGCTGCGTTCCCTAATTGTTGGTGCATCGGCTTTCAAATTAGTGTCATATCTTCGACTTGATCTTGTGTCTGCATAGGCGTCGCTCAACGGTCTCTCCTGTCGCTCAGCCCTTTCAGTGCGCTCGGGCCGGTCTTGTCGCTCAATTCGCTCAATTCTTTCGGGTCTATCCTGTCGTTCAACCCTTTCATTTCTTTCTGGCCTTTCCGGCCTTTCGCTTCTTTCAGGTTTGTCTTGTCTTTCAGAGCGTTCGACCCTTTCTGGTCTGTCCTGTCGCTCAGCGCGCTCATTCCGTTCAGGTCTCTCAGATCGTTCAACTCGTGGAGGCTTAGATTCCGGTTCGACTCTACGTTCTGGTTCAGTCCTTCTGCTAGGTTCGGTTCGTCGAGGTCCTTCCGTCCTTCTCTCGGGCTCACTCTTGCGGTCCGATCCGCTCTTCCTGTCGGGTTCGCCGCCCTCGGAACCGCTCGAAGAGCCTGTTAGAATAACGAATCGTCGCTCCGGATTGTATTCATGAACCTCCATAATCACGGGGTTCTGTTCGGCGTCCCCACGTGATGGGGGCTCCTCGTCCTGGTATTTGGAGAATGACGCCCCATGTTCCCGCTTAAGTGAGACTTCTTCATCTTCGACAGACGGCGCCGGCGGTCGAACTCTGGAAATTTGTGGTGGAGCTGCAGACTGTGGTCGTGGTATTAATGGGTAATAAGGCAGCTGGTATGGTTGCTGCTGGGATGGGGGCTGAGAGGAAGGACGATCCTCAATCTGCGATGGTGGACTATTGACCGTTGTAAGTAGTTGTTCAGAGACAGAACTATAATGCACATACGGTTTCGGACTTTTGGCTCGGGACGTTGTAAAGTACCCGGTTTGGAGTAGGTTTTGAATGTCAAACGACTCGCCCATGATGCGTTTCTAAATGGCTGAGCAGTAAGAAATCATGATACGCTTTGGAGAGAACGACAACAGCAAACGCTCCCACGGAAATAAAAGCAAAAAGATGAACAACCGAGACAGAATAGGTCGGAAGGCTGAGATCGCTTGCTGATATGTGTTTCTATGGTGTTTGTTGTCGCACAGGCCTGCTGGAGACGGAGAAGGAAGGTTGGGTTTGTTGGTTGGTGCGGCGGGCGTTGCGTTCCAAAAACAGGCACTATACCTATAGTCGTAACTCTGATATTGATGCCGCAGAGGGTGCTGACGATAGAACAGTAGACACTAACTAACAGAAAGCAGAAAAAAGAAGGAAACAATCTGCTCAGTTCTGCTCTGTCCTGGCGCTGTTTTCTAGGCGGCGACGTCAGAAGAGAAGCAGAATAGAAGGTCAGAGACACCTTGGGGCGCAGTTTGGATCGGGTTCTAATGGATGGAACCTCACTCAAGCAGAACACCTACCTTAGTACTACTAACATCAGCATGGATGGGCTACTGGACTAGGTAGCCACTAGCCAGATGACATAGTAGTATCACAGGAGGTACCTAAGCATCCACCCAAGCCACCATATATAACAATGTACTCTAAACTCCCAAGTGGGCGGCTGGGCATCATCCACCCCTCCTCTCGTCATCCTCAGCCCTCCAATAGCCCCGCCAGGTTGCCCCTCCTACGTCCGGATTGATCATGCCGATTAAAGCCATCGACTACGGTAGGCCATTGCATTTCATAAAATCACCGATTTGCTCCAGTGCAACGTATCACCATCAATCAAGAGACGGCGCTATCATGTCTCGGTAGACGGACATAGATTTTGATGCAGAATTGAGTTGTAGTACAGAGTACAGATCATGTCCTTCCATGCCCAGTACGACCACAACAATCATTCAACAGAACAGAACAGAACCCTGCTGTATGACCCTAGCCACCGCTTTCGTTTAGATGACAATGACCCCAGAGGCCCAGAGACGTCCATTGACAAGTCAACAGACTGCCATGTCACCTAAAACTCCGACAGATATATCCTGGTATTGGCATTGGCATTTGGAGGTGAGCAACATACTATCAAGTTCAAGCGTTATCTACCTGGTAGGTACCATATTCAATTTTAGGTATCTCAATAGCCCTGAAGACAGTCGTTGAAACAGACTTGCTCAAAACTTAAGGGTATTTGTGGATAACCTTCAGCCATCGAATAATTATCACGAAACAATCCATGGCCTTTGCAGATCATAAATTCAAGACGGTCCCGCAACCTGAGCCCACAATTTGACAAGTCATCTAGTTTTCTTATAGGCTTTGCTTTGCATGATTTTTTGTAATTGCAATGAGCGGTAAACATGGATATATCTGCGATGGAGCCCATAACCTAAGTAACTTGACAATATGTACTGTCAACGCCTAGTGTGGATAGTCTCTATCTAAGGTAGTTGGTGAGTCGATAGAGATTCTGTTGCATAAACGAGAATGGGCGGACTATAGTACCTATGTAGGTCTCTGGGGCTCGCACTCACACCGATTGTCAAGCGACGACAAATGAGGACGATTGCATATATGCGGTGTATTTGCGATGCTTCTTACGAGAATGCTCAAGGATGAAGACCTCAATAGGAGCTCTCGGCCAGGGTTACTATATGCCAGCCGACAGGCGTTAAAGCACAGTCCGCAGGGTGTCAGAAGATTTGACCGTTGAAAGCATAAGAGACGAAATAGCTTGATCACCTTATGCCAGCTTAGGTAGACTATCATTTAGGCTACTTTATTTTTGTAGCCTAAGTCTTAGAGGACATTTCTTCTGTTACCCACCTAACAGTCCAGCTGAAAGCCCAACTCGAATTACAGGGTATACTATACCATTAACTTTCCGGTAAGCGGTGCAGTATATTACGTAGACTGGCTAGAGTAAAAGAAGGATTATAATAGAGGTTACATACGAGAAAACGCTTAGACTGCCCGAGTATTATTGGCTATCTTTTTTTTCTCTCTCTCTAAATATCTACTCAGCTGAGATCTATATCTACTCATTCCTGCCTTTCAACATAGGCCCAAATTACCTCGTTGTCTGTCCTTTGGCTGATGGTATTCCCTTCTGTTTAGGAGGAAGCCAAGTACCTTTGACGATGATAAGGCTGGACTTTTGAAAGTTCGAGCAAAGACAGCAAGATACAAACCCCATGCTAACTTATCTTCGGCCTCTATTGGAGGTCATTCGCGAAGAGAATAAGTGACCAAGGACTCAGTGTTCATAACAAGGGCTCGAGATATGGGATCCGATGCGACAACGTGAACGAAAACTCAGGCATCATGCCTTCTTTCCATTTCTACAGTCAGTCCAAATGACCTATTACCCATAACACAATACTCCGTCCATGATCAAGATTCCAGACTCTGACTTGTCCAAAAGTCTCTCCAGAATAACACATCGCAAAAGGCGTCTAATCTTCAAGAAGGTCTGCAATATCCTTGTCGTCCTCCTCCTCTTCCCTTCGTCGCTCCTCAGCTTCAAGGAGGTCCTTCAACATAGTTCTCTGTCTCACGCGAGCCTTCTGACCCCAATCAGCACCAGTACCGTCACCCTCCTCGTCGATTTCAGGCTCATCCTCGGCCAGTCCGCGCAGCTCATTGGGAGAGATCTGGGCCTTGCGCTTTTCCTGGGCGTCATCATCCTCCATCTTTTGGACAGCTCCTTTTGTGATAAACTTCAGAGCCAGAGGACGTAGGAGCATGTAGCCGCCCACGATGACGACAAGACGGAGCCAGGCTTTTGTGTCCATTGCATCGAATGCAGTTGAGATGTTGTTGGAGGCGTTGGCGCCATACTGCAAGAACTGAGCAGTGAACTTTCCAAAGGCATTGAGTTCAGGCTGCTCGCCCTGGTGTTGTTGTTGAGCCATAGGATCCATTGTGAATGTGTTGTCTTTGTGAGAGTGAAATTTGGCGTGACTTTGGACAAGTGATCTCCTTCAGAGTTTCTTGGCAATGATGCGTTTCCAGGTGTAAAGGGCCTATATGCGAAGCTTGGCGTAGATGCAAGGTGGCTTTTGCGGCAGTAATGAGATAGAGTCGCGCTAAGTCAAAATCCCACGTGAGAAATGAGTGCTGAATCGCAGTTTGAGGTTACTCAGGTGGGTGTAGAATTGGGAGAATAGGAGAGGGAATGACAGAGTTGGTAAGTTGAGACCCTGAGTTGAGTTTTATATGGCGCGCGCGACTCGGGGGAGGCTCGTTTCGTTTTTTTACTTGCCCGATGGAGCCGGCGCTCACTCACTGGCCAAGTTCTGGAACCTGTCTTGTACGGAGTACCCGCTAGACAAATGAGGGTAGCAACCTCATGAATATCGTTGTTTTCAGAGCGCATAATTGATCATTAAGCTATGAGCTAATTAAAATCAATATCAATGCTCTTTTCAAGGGACATTCATTGTTTCATAAGCAGCATACATGCTTGCATGATTGGAGAAGGTTCGAATAAGTAATTGAGAGAAGTCTTGAGTTCTTTTATCCTCCAGGGCTCCCAGGTGGATGTCAGAAGAATTGTCCTCTAAGGCTTAGGCTACAGAAATAAAGCAGCCCAAGTGCCGGTCTTAACTGACCTAAAACGACGAAGTTATTTCGTCTCTTATGCTCCCCGGGGTCAATTCTTCTAACACTCAGAGAGCTCCGTAGAAATTAGAACCTCACTTACTATGCGCTTGATGTCCCAGACTCAGCAATCACCATGTCACAGAGACATAAGAAAAGAACAATCCTTGGTGTAGTATATTCTAGAAATGAATTCTTAATATATTTACCTTACCTGTCCATCAATGATCTTTCAACTACATTACCACGTGACCGTTCTCTCCCCAGTATCTAAGTGGACGCTCCAATCCTAGATGGTTGGACAATGGCTCCACCAAAAGGACAGACCCGGACGCCTTTGGAGCGAAGCAGAGCTCGAGAAATTTTCGAGGCCTCATCATAGCCGTTTTCCATTTCCACATTCATCCCCCTCCACTCTTGATAGCACCATCGTGTGTTTTTCTCCCTCCTCTCCTCTCATCCCTTCTTCTTCTCCCCCTTCTCGTTTGTTCTTTATAATACCCATAGGGAGTCGCCATCATGTCGACTGCTTTCCGATCTATTGCGCCTTTCCTGCGCACCGCCCGACAAGGGCTCCGGGCTAACCCCGTCAACCCGCTTCAGTCCGCCTTCACCAAGCAGAACGCCTCTGGTGTCCTCAACCTCTACCGCACATACGCCGTCTTTGAGCGATCAAAGCCCCATGTGAACATTGGTACCATTGGTCACGTCGATCACGGCAAGGTACGACATATATAACCCCTCTATTTCACATAGATCAAACCTCGGCTGACACTATATCTCTTAGACCACTCTCTCTGCTGCCATCACCAAGCGCCAGGCCGACAAGGGCCTCGCCAACTTCCTCGAGTATGGTGCCATTGACAAGGCTCCTGAGGAGCGAAAGCGTGGTATCACCATCTCTACTGCCCACATCGAGTACGCCACCGACAACCGCCACTACTCCCACGTCGACTGCCCTGGTCACGCCGATTACATCAAGAACATGATTACTGGTGCTGCCAACATGGACGGTGCCATCATCGTCGTTGCCGCTTCCGACGGTCAGATGCCCCAGACCCGTGAGCACTTGCTGCTTGCCCGTCAGGTCGGTGTTCAGCGAATTGTTGTCTTCGTCAACAAGGTCGATGCCATTGACGACCCCGAAATGCTTGAGCTTGTCGAGATGGAGATGCGTGAGCTTCTCAACACCTACGGCTTCGAGGGTGACGACACCCCTGTCATCATGGGTTCTGCTCTCATGTCCCTCCAGAACCAGCGCCCCGAGATTGGTACCCAGAAGATCGATGAGCTCCTTGCCGCCGTCGACGAGTGGATCCCTACCCCCGAGCGTGACCTTGACAAGCCTTTCCTCATGTCTGTTGAGGACGTCTTCTCCATTGCCGGTCGTGGTACCGTCGTCTCTGGCCGTGTTGAGCGTGGTATCCTCAAGCGTGATCAGGAGATCGAGCTTGTCGGTAAGGGTCAGGAGGTTATCAAGACCAAGGTCACCGATATCGAGACCTTCAAGAAGTCTTGCGAGCAGTCCCAGGCCGGTGACAACTCTGGTCTCCTCATCCGAGGTGTTCGCCGTGAGGATGTCCGCCGTGGTATGGTCGTCTGCGCTCCAGGCACTGTCAAGTCTCACACCCAGTTCCTCGCTTCCCTCTACGTCCTCACCAAGGAGGAGGGTGGCCGACACACTGGTTTCCAGGAGCACTACCGACCTCAGCTCTACCTCCGAACTGCTGATGAGTCTATCGACCTGACCTTCCCTGAGGGTACCGAGGACGCTCACAGCAAGATGATCATGCCCGGTGACAACACCGAGATGGTCGTCACCATGGGTCACCCCAACGCTATCGAGGTCGGTCAGCGATTCAACATCCGTGAGGGTGGCCGAACCGTTGCTACCGGTCTCTGCACTCGCATTATCAAGTAAGCGGTGTTATAGATGGGTAAAGGAAAAGTTTACGGGGTTAGTGTACGAATTATTACGCTTATGTACAATCTGGCAATGTCTGTTTCTTTGAGTCCAATTGGCTCTTGTATATTTAGGTGGCCCTGGGGCTCAAAGATCTCCGCTCTGCTTCCTCCCGTTGTCTTGACTATTGTAATTTAGACAAAAATCTAGGGAACCTGGAAGGCAGTAATAAGACTTGTAAAACTAGCACGCCAATTGCGGTATGTGAATACTCGTCCGTTAGGGCTACGCGGTCGGTAGACTTTGCCCATTGCGAACTGATGCAGATGACATTGCGTGATCACAGGAAGGTGTCAAGTTGGGCACAAGGGACCGATGGTTCACATGGAGTTTTTGATTGTCGTAATTTCACATTGACCCGATACACTCCATTGCCACAGGCTGGTCATGCGGGATAGTGCGAGGATAAGACAAGACACATAGACATTTCGAGGTCCAATGCAATGGTATTCGTCTATCCTCGGAGGATGTTCGTCAGACGCACGATCTTCCTGAGGGACCCAAGCAAGCCATAAAACTCCTGTTCCAAGCGGCCGCCCTCCGAGTGCTTTTTTAACGCGAGGCCTTTGACTTCCTGCTGAGAGTCCTTCCCCCCCACACAATACTTTTCTCTCCAGCAGTTCCCCCCATCCCTTAAACGAGAAAACCGGGTGTCATGATGATTGATCGTTTATCGGTACTGTAGACGCAATCGGGTCAGTCCTGTTTGTTCTGACTCGCGCAAATCGCTGAATAGCCTGGGCCTGGACTAGAACACCAGGCTGCGCTTTCACTTGATGCAAAACTCACCTTGTTGAAACCGATGTCCTTGGCCTTCTCACGGAAGCACTGACGGCACAGGTTGAGGTCGTACTTTCGGATAAGACCAGCCTTGTGCTTGCAGACACGGCTGGGAGATTAGTTAGCATAAGTAATATTCGAATCGTCTATCGAGGAACGCCGTCGGGGGCATTTTGTGATTTCGCATCCGACGGAGAGGATTGTAGAATTATTCGTACCAGCTGCGAGAGCCCTTGCCGTAGTTTCGAGGGCGGGAGTTCCAAACGCTTTCGTGAGACATGGTGTCGTTGTTGGGGGTTGAAGGCCGAAAGCTCGAAGGGTTGCGGGATGGTTTGGATTTCGCGAGATGGAGTGAGCTGGAAATTTTGTGTGCGCTCTCTGACTAGGTCCCGCAGCCCCAGTTTGGGAAAGAGCGAGGGCTCAGAGGTTCGGCAGACGGAGCAGTGGTTATTCCGTTATCATTTGGTCCCCACTCTGAGCTGTCCAACAAGGTGAACTTATATCCACTCGAGGGCACCTCTAAGCAAACTTGGAGAATGATTTGAATCGTTGTGAGCTCTTAATTGGCTTAGGAGTTTCTATAGTTCAATACTTGAGTTTATTTTGGAGTCTATAATTGTGTTGTGCGCCGTGGTTAAAAAAGAGAAAAAAGAACTGGTGTCTGGCGATATACCTATCAGTCCTATCTTCAAGTAGGTACGTACTGTACATAAAATTGGAGAAACTTCAATGTTGGTAAGGAGAGTGTGGTTATGAGGATAATCAACTCTGGGTAACAAACACCGCTATAAAGTGACAAAGAAATGCTTGAGAAATAAGAGAAAGTTTTTCTATGAATTCGAGCTACATATGTCTCCTGTTCTAGGCAAGAGATTTATACACTCAATTAATGAAGAACTTAAGATCAACATAGGAGCTAACGGGGGTTTGTTTTTGAGTTTATACTCTGAAGAGCTCTAGAAGTTCCTTGAACCACCTGCTGAACACTTTCTTATTAATCCACAATTTCGTTAATCTGTTATCATTTTTGTTAAAAGATTTAGTCTCGGGTCACCATACACAGGCATTTCCGAGTATAAGTTGCCAATGGCGCCATCATCATTAATCAACATTCATTCATATATGTCACTGCAGTGAATAAGAAGTGTCGTACTGTATGCTTAGTGATCTCAATAAAAGTTCAACTTGGACATGTATTTACTGACTTCCATGATACGAACTGCCTACTAATAGGCTGTAACAATTACTAGAAACCATAACTGCTTCATCCCAAGTCTCAAGGCGATGGATGCAGTGACAGTCCCACGACATAATTGGCTGATTACCCCAACCAAGGTGGCGGTGGGAGCTTGCCTCAGCTCCCACTAGTCCCGCTTTACTTTACAGGGATGTCCACCTACACCGGACATTCCTATGCAAACTGGCATCTTGGTCTGATTTCCAAGCAACTATCCAGAAACAAAGCACATCTCTTCACAAAGATTGTGCTCTGGTTTGTCTTGTCTCTTCTCTCCCCTTATATACAAACACCAATCGAACCAAGGTCCATCCAATATGGTTCTCATCAAGAGCTTCGTGCTCGGCGCTCTCGCCGCCACTGTCGCAGCTAAATCCGCCGTCATCGAGCTGCTCCCCTCCAACTTCGACGACATCGTTCTCAAGTCCGGCAAGCCCACCCTCGTCGAGTTCTTCGCCCCGTGGTGTGGTCACTGCAAGAAGCTTGCTCCCGTCTGGGAGGACCTCGCAAACACCTACGAACACACCAAGGACGTCCAGATTGCAAAGGTCGACGCCGATGCTCAGCGTGAGCTTGGTAAGCGATTCGGTATCCAGGGTTTCCCTACCCTCAAGTTCTTCGATGGCAAGAGCGCAAAGCCTCAGGAATACAAGTCTGGCCGTGATTTGGAGAGTCTGACCAACTTCATTGTCGAAAAGACTGGTGTCAAGCCCAAGAAGAAGCTCGAGATGCCCAGCGAGGTTACCTACCTCAACGACGCTACTTTTTCCAAGGCTATTGGTGGTGACAAGCATGTCCTGGTTGCCTTCACTGCTCCCTGGTGCGGACGTCAGTTTTGCCTTTTCCCCAATAGTCAACTATGCTAATTGTTCCCTGTATAGACTGCAAAACCCTCGCCCCTACCTGGGAGGACCTCGCTACCACATTCGTTAACGACAAGAACGTCCTGATCGCCAAGGTTGACGCTGAGGCTCCCAACAGCAAGGCTACCGCGGAGCAGCAAGGTGTCAAGTCCTACCCTACTATCAAGTGGTTCCCCGCTGGTAGCAAGGAGCCTGTCGCCTATGAGAGCGGACGTACTGAGCAGGCCTTTGTCGACTGGATCAACGAACATGCCGGAACCCACCGTGTTGTTGGTGGTGGTCTTGACGCTGTCGCCGGTACTGTTGAGTCTCTGGATACCCTCGTGGCCAAGATCACTGGTGGTGCTGCCCTCGCCGAGGTCGCCGCCGAGGTTAAGAAGGAGGTCGAGAACCTCACCGACTCTGCTCAGAAGACCTACGCCGAGTACTACGTACGTGTCTTTGATAAGCTGAGCTCTAACGACGATTGGGTTTCCAAGGAGCTTGGTCGTCTGGAAGGCATTCTCGCCAAGGGTGGCCTGGCCCCTTCCAAGCGCGACCAGATCCAGGCGAAGACCAACGTCCTTCGCAAGTTCGTGCAGAAGAAGGCCGAGGAGAAGGTCGAGGAGATCAAGGATGAGCTGTAAATTAGCAAATGCATTGCATTACAGCCAATAAGCAAGTATAGAATCGTGGACCTTGTATGTAGTTGATTCTTGGGTTACTTGATGTAACGATATAATGAAAATACCATAACAATGAGGCATGTTGATTCTTCTATTTGCGTATGATGAATCGAAGCTTTCGAGAGATAACCTGAACGCCCTAAACTATTTATCTATATGTGAAGTTCATGAAGTTTATGAAGTTTTGGTTGAGCTTCCATCCTTGGGCTTATTACTCTCTTGAAGAGCTGCCTCCAGATTATCTAGCCTTCGAGACATTTCGTCCACTTGTTTGCAAGGTTAGTGTGGGGCGTTTATCAATACTTGGAAGCGAGTGCACCTACTCTTAGCAAAGATTTCTGAAGAGACACCCGCAAACTTGTTGGATAGAGAGTTTAGAAGCTCCTCCACAGCCGCTGTGACATCGGCGCGAGCATCATCTGAAGCCTATAACAAAGGAATCAGTCAGTCAGTGGCGCTGTCCGAACCCGACCGAGGACAAGGCTTTGGTGCTCTACAGCTTAACGTATGCAATCTTTGTGTAACACTGCATGCGTTGAGTCTGGCGCGAGTCGCCTGAGTTGGTATGAAACGTACATTTTCCGGCTTGTTATTCGCGGCGGTGTCAGGCTTAGGGTCGTTGCTAGCCATGATGGAGTTTAGGTGTAAGAAGTCAGGACCTGCTGGTGTATGAAACGCTGGAAAGGAAAACAACGAGTATGTAAAGGTGAGGTTAATTGGAATTACTGTCCACAACAAACGTGTATATGTGGTTTGGTCTGATGTTGATTCGTTTACTGGGTAATAACAAATGAATGTTCCATGATATAGATTAGGTAGAAGTCCCCTTCCATATTCGTACTGTGTCGGAAAAGGTACGGCATAATTTTATAGGACGTCAGGTAGCCCAGAGGGCAGCCACAGCCACAATTGCTATGATGGATACGTACCACTCCTTGAACCAGCCGACGTCTCACAGGAACGAACTCCCTAAGCGGGCTGTCAGTACCTACTTCCACTTATTATATTCATAACTCAAACAACATCTCAAAGATAAAGCCACACCAACCATCAACTATATCCACAGACTCTGTTAACGTCTCATTAACCCTTTGATCTTGGTTGTTATCATCGTCATCTTCACGTCGCCGTTGGTCGACGACTACAACAGACCTAATGTCACAGCAATAGGCGCGCTTACCATCGTGGGACATGATGCCTCAAGCCCAACATCCGATTGCTACCATAATCTTCATTGTCGTTATCATCTGGCTCGTTTTTCCCGATAGCGACTATTCGGGTCAATCTCTTACTCTCTCCGATCTTGCACAGGAGAGGCTTGACCATTTCCAGGATGCACTCGACGTGCTGAACGCCTCGCGCTGGGGCGATTTCACACCAGCTCCAGAGAAGAATTCTGATGTGAAACCTTCTTTCCTCAACATAACAGGCTTTCGTGCTGAGGACAATCTCTCATGGGGTGACTTGAAGAGGTTCCGTGAGAGGAGTCTCGCATTCAGTCGACATGCCGTACCGCCAGTAGGGGGGCAAAACTTATGGGACGCTGGACAAGGTGAACCCATGTGGACGAACGCATCAGGGATTGTCCATGGAGAATGGGTCAAGAAGAAGGGCTCAGTATCCAGAGGATATGATAGTTACAACCTGAGTAGGATCGCCCCTGACTTGGACTGGATTGGCGATCATGCTTCCTGGGCACGTAACATTACTGGCCGCACCGGCCGTATGATGCTGCGTCTTGAGGGGAACAAGACGGTCAGCGAGTATGAGCAACTACCAGCGCAAAGTGGAATACCTGTCTCTGGTGGCCTCATACGAAGTGTTAGAGGTACGACAACTATCGAAGACACATATGGTTCTGGCCATGACTGGGAGATGAGGCTATGGGGGGTCCATTGGCCTCGTCAGGGTGTCATTCTCATGACCACCACCAGTGAAAAGTTCGAGGGCATTTTCGGTCTCCCGCACTTGACCCCGAGCGAGGACTTCTTCCAGTCCAGCCAGAAGCTGCTGAATGAATCGATTGCCCGTACGATTACCAGAAAGAAGGAAAACATCTACGCAGATCAGACATTTCCTTGGACTTCTGATTTGGAAAACCCATTGTACACCAATAACCCATCACCACACTGCGAGTATATCATGTATGCGCAAGTCTACCCACCAAGTCGAGGTCGTTTCAATCTTGATTCCGAAGAATCGTCCAGGGACATTTTACAGTCAGCCATCAGCACCATAGAATCAGAGTTACAGTCACCGGTAGGCGCCCCTATTCCTAGGGTTCCCAAGCTCCAGATGTCGGTCGTCATCTATTCGCCGGATTGTGGGTTCTTTCTTGAGAGCAAAGGTCCGCCAGACTTTGGTCCAAGTGAGGCCCAGCATCTGACCGGCATGAAGATGGAGGTTCAGGTCTACCAGGTGAAGGCATGGATTCTCGTGTACGCAGTTGTCATGTTTGCCCAGGTCTATATGCTTAAGAACCAGATGCGCGAGTCTTGCACCCCTTCGACAATGGGTCGTGTGAGTTTCTGGACCATTGCCATCATGCTCATTGTCGATGGCATGACCTTCACTGCTGCAGCTACTTGGGTGTCCTCTGCTGGTGCTACCTTTCTTCCTACCCTGGCTCTTCTGTTCGCAGCGTTCCTGTCCATGACGATTGGTGGGAGTTTTTTATCCAAGGTACACGAGGTTCAGATACCCGAGACTCGACCTCGTAGAGAACAAACCCCTGGCGCGAGCAGTTCAGGGAATGGTCCCGGTGCAGTAGTCTCGTCCGCTGCGGTACCGAACACAACTGGCCCTACTTCTCTTTTGCCCAGCCCTGTTACGGCGCGTCAGCCGGCCAGACCTCTGCCTCAACCACAACCCGTCATTGTCCCGTCTGACCAGGACATTGATGCTGAGGTTTCTGCTTCAGCAAGTGCTGTTCCTGGTGCCACAACCGCACAACGGGCGGAGGAGCCACCGCCATCCTTCCAAAGTATCATTGGCCGCCTCATTCTCTCTTCTCTGTGTATCATATTCCTGGCAATTTCTTCCACAACATGGTACCCCAACCTGCGGTCTCTCTTTTTGAACCTTTGCATTCTTATCTATCTCTCCCTCTGGATCCCTCAGATCCATCGCAATATCAGACGTAACTGTCGTCGAGCCCTTGGATGGCCCTTTGTCATTGGTCAATCGATCCTACGTCTTCTTCCCGTAGCCTACTTCTGGACTAAAGAGGATAATTTCCTCTACGCTCGCTCGGATCGTCACGCATTCTTGGTATTCTGTGCCTGGGTTTGGATTCAGCTCATTATTCTCGCCGCGCAAGATATTGTCGGTCCTCGTTTTGGGATTCCTGCTGGTTGGGCCCCTGACGCCTGGGACTACCACCCTCTTCTTCGTGAAGACGGTCTTGAGGCTGGCGGTCTGCCAATTGGTCTTGTTGCGGATGATACACCAGGTATTGAGCGTGCTCGCTCCTCGGGTGACGATGGCAACAAGAAGCAAAGCTCAATGAGAAGCATTGACTGTGCTATCTGCCGTGAGATACTTGAGGTGCCGGTACTTACAGCCGAAGATGAAGACACGGGCGTTGCGGGCGTTTTTGCTCGTCGCTTATATATGGTAACGCCTTGCCGGCACATATTCCATAGCGGCTGCCTCGAGGGCTGGATGAGATTCCGCCTTCAGTGCCCCATATGTCGGGAGGAGCTACCGCCTCTATGAACTTTTTGTATAACAAGCATTTGTGTTCTCGGATGGTATATACCATCGTTTTGTTGGTGTTGTTTGCTTGGAAAAACTGCACGACAGCATACATAGGATACACCATTGGCTGGTCTACAAAGATGATTCTTGTTTAGTAGTATGTTACACCGGGCATTAATATAATATCTAAGCATTTTCCCTCCCATAGTTAAAGTCTCGGTCCGTAATACCTTCTCCGCAGTAACTCACGTCTACATTCAAAACAGGGCACCTATCATACATTGCGAGCGGTGGCGCAAGGCTCGGTTCGATGAGCTCACCAATTCAAACGGGTTTGGCGGAACTTTGGGTCCGGCACACCGGGTGGGAGGCCGCGGGTACCAACATGAAGGTCTGCAACACGAGTCCTCAAGTCGAAGTCGACAGATCGAATCGTAAAGCGCTTTCCTTCTGGTATGATACGGGGTATAGACCTCGAGATACCATCAGCAGGATATGACTCAACTCCCATAACGAGCGCCTCTGACTCCTCTAGGTTCATGACCCAGGCACTGATGTTGGCCACCATCTCGCTATCCCACATGCCCTCCCGGCGAGCACTGCTGCGAAGCAGCTGAATAGCTCGGCGCCGGGTACCTGGGTCGCGACATTTTGTAGCCACGACGAACAGCGGAGCAACGATCCCGAGATCGGCAGCAAACCGAGGCTTGATGTGTGGAGCCGAGAATCCCATTGCTGGGAAGAAGTCCTGGGGTTGCCAGGTTTCGCGTTGTCGATGCTGACACTGCCCAGGGTTCGGGCAGTCACGCGCAGCGGCTCGTCTCTCTTCGTCGCCAACTATTTCGATGCCCAAGTCGACTATGGTCTGGAACTGAGGAAGGAAGTTGTCGAAGTCGGACTCCTTGTCACTGAACATCATAAGATACAAGATTCTCGAATTGGTTGCCAACATCTTCAAGGCTGCAATTCCTGCCTTCTCTTGTAGGCTAACAGAAGGGTTGTGGCGCGTGAAAAGCAGGTTATCAAAGGCCTTGGCCCACGCATCAAGATGATTTTTGAACGAAAGACCATAATCGAGCCAAGATGGGGGAAGTGTGCCCCTCAGATCCGTCTTCATGGAAAAGAGTTCTTCGATATATCGCATGATCCGAGCATTTAACGTATCACAAGCTACTCGAGCTTCGATGACGGAAGTAAAGTTTTCGGGGATGGAGATAGGCTCTTCTTGCAAGGGAGTGTTTGTACCACTATGGCCAGGGGATTGCGTTTGCGATTGCGAGCTTAGCCGTATACTGAATGGTTGTGGGAAGTGAAAAGCCATGTCGTAAGACTTTGCTTGGATTGCCAGTCGGGTAAAGATAGTGACGAGTTCCTCCTCGAGAGAATGTTCTGAAGCTGGCAGCAGTCGTTGCCTTTGTTGGGTGCGGAATATATCGAGCAGACCGAGTCCGGTCTGGATCTGATGAATAGCCTGTCTATGATCACCAATGAAGGAGTCGAAGCAAGCGAGAAGGACATTGGCCATAATGGAAGTTCTGTGTGATCTCTGGTCTTGGGTGTTTAGCTTTACTAACGCATTGCACGCATCACCATAACGTCTGATGGCCACTTGCCAGTGACTCCTCACAACCTCAACACGCGCATCAGAGCTAGCATCATGCCCGCTACGCAGGTTGAGCACAGCTGTCTGTTCCAGAGTCTGATATAAGGCGCCCAGGGCGATCACAGCACATTTAATAGCATCTTCAGAATGGCATTCCTGTAAAACGTAATGGGTCCAGAAAAGGTTGTTGAAGAAGCCGGATAACTCGTGGGCCGTGTGCGAGCGGAAAACGTCAAAGTAAAACGTCTCGTTGGGTTGGATTTGAAGGGCCACGGACGGTTGGTAAGTAGTAGGTGACGGAGAAGGGGTTCCAGGGGAGGCGGCTCTCAGAACTGCTCGTTGGTGTACTCGGCGTGGTAGAAGATGGTAGTCGCCCTGCAAAGGTGCAATGGGAGCACTCGAGGATGCATGAGCATCGTAGACCGGCATCGGTTTCGGGGCGATTCGAATCTCCTCAAAGGGACGAGAACTACGACTAGGAGGCGGGTAGCCAGTGCAGTTTTTGTTGCTTCGTACGCATTGTGTACAAGCTGGCCGAGCCTCGTCACATTTGATGCGTCTTTGCCTACAGTTTTATCCAGGTAAGATTATGGATGGTATGGTGTCGAAGCAAGGTTAAGATGAAGCAAGGAGGAAGGAGAAGGGATTGGGCAGACATACTTGCAGTTGGTACAACCTGTCTTCACTTTCGGTTTACTTGTCCTGACTCGTTTCGCTTTGACCTGGGAGGAAGCAGATGTTGCAGTCGGAGCTCTTGCGTCTGACGAGGTCGAAGCTGAAGGAGCTTTGGTCGAAGAGGCCGAAGAAGCAGGAGCAGATGCAGAGACAGACGGGCTGCTCGAAGCCGCAAGAGTGTCAGCAGCAGCACTTGGGGTGGCCGGTGTACTAGTTGATGTGGGAGAGACGTTGCTGCTGCTGTAGTTACTCTCCGTGTAAGGAATATCGATGGTGTTGAAGTTGTTGATGGCGATAGGGTGCAGAGAAGAAGACGGCTGAGTTGCCGAGTCCGTTGTTGAAAAGGATGGGGTCGTGGTTGTCAATGATGAAGTTGATGATGGAGCCAACAGTGTTGGTGTTTGTGCTTCCGTCGATTGACCCCTTGACATGGAGGAAGGCACGTTGGCGGCCTGATTCATATTTGCAAAAGTTCTAGAGGAAGGTACATCCGAGTTTGTTTGTGCATGTACTTGGACTTGGATTTGTACCGGGACTTGTACTTGTGCATGTGCCCTTGCTCGTGCCTGCGCCTGCGCCTGCACTTGTGCCTGCGGTTGTGACTGTGACTGGGACTGGGACAGTGTTCTTCCCCCCGCTCTCTCGGAATGAGACGATGAGGTCTCTTCTTTTAACCAACTTTGAGCCATGGAAGACAGACACGACACAAAGTCAAGTCACCTCAGCTACCACCAGCCTGACCTTCACGGGACAGGGACAGTGCCGATATAGGCAGTAGCTAAGGTAAAAAGCAAGTAAGGTTGTCGGTTTACCTGGTCAGATCGCCGTTAATATGTTATTCACCCCCGCGATAACTCCACGACTACCACGTTTTTTCCTGGGTAGCGAGCGAACCGCTTCTCGGCCGAGAAGACGGGTGGATGGAAAAGGTAATCTTAGTCGGTATAGTCGGGAATCAGAGTTTCTGCGAGAAAAGGGTGGCAGAGGACTAAGAAGTAGCCGGAGATAATAAAAAGAAATGGAGGGACTAGAAGACAAGCAAGTAAAAAAAGACTAGTAAGTCGTCACAGAGGTGAGCACAGGGCTAGGTTGATACGCATATGGAAACGCATCAGGGCAGCCTGACTGTGGCGGATATAGGTAGTAGGTAGTGTCAGTGTCAGTGTCAGCCCTGGTCAAGTCCTCGGGCGCAACGATGCCTTTCTATACGCAGCTCATTACTCCATGAATTCTGCAATTATTTCCCAGGGGCAGATCCAGCATCTACTGTACAGTGCTGACAAGCATAGATTGACATGACAAGCATGGATGGGGCTCATCTGTTCCCTGATATCAAACACCACTCCTATCTGGGAGGAGAAGGCTGAAGCCATGCGGTACCATGCTATACCATGGCTCCCATTGCCGGGGAGGGTGCAATAATCAGCCCGAACCTAGAGAACAGACAGAGCACTAATTCGACAGCAGATAGTAACAGATCCCGAGTAAATCTGGTCCGTTGTGGGGAGAGCGGCCGGAGCATTGTAACAAACAAGAGGTCCGGGGGTCCCCCATGGAAAAAAAGAAGCAAGCACAAGCGCCAGCAGAAGCAGAGACGGACAACAGATCGCCGGTGGGTTTAGTCTGGGCAACGCCATATGGCCTGTCATGCTTCGGGCGAGCTCTGCCAAACTCGGAGTAGCACGCCTCTGTGTAACCACAACTAAGATCAAAGCTAGACATCCGGGACTGGCGAGACAGCCGCAGCATAGCTTCCCGTGCGAGAAGACATGGGATGGTCCCGTCAGACACTTGCAGCAACTAGTCGGTTAGTAAGTGAATCAGCCAGTAATGGATAGTTGTCGGTCCGGGTATGGTTTTCCAGCATAATACAGGGCAGATACAGTGCTAGGGTGGCAGAGAAGTCCTGAATAGTCGACTAAAAGATGCCAATGCCAATACCAATACCATACGTATTGGCAAGTGGATTTAGCAGTGAAGATCCATTCTGTAGACTGCAGAGTCCCAGGGTTTTCTGTACATACAGCACAACAGTGCACTCAGTCTACTGAACAGCCAGCAATGAAAACAACCTGGAAGCTATGCAGGAATCCCGAGGTCCCGAGTCGACCCAGCAGCCCCAGGTACGGATACTGTGCTGCTGCAGTGTGAAAGTCCATGCCAGCGTACCGTACGTGAATGGATGGATGTCAATGAGAGCGAGGATAGGGATGGCTGATTAGACTTGGAACCAAATCTGGGACCAGGTAGTGCACCGTTCAAGCTTCGGGCCCTCCCCTCTCCAGCGCCGCCCTAGTGCAGACTGACGCTCGTTGGTGCTTGAACGAGACTTACTTACCCAATGAGGAGGAAGGTGACGTTTGACAGGGGGAGCGCTTGTGCGTTCCTGTTGTTGGTCGCACAAGGGAGGGCTAGTAGGGAAGAAGCTTGGCTAAGCCTCGTCGAGAAGGATTGACGCTCGGCGCTCTGCATCTGCATCTGCATCTACAGGGCTGTTAGGAGTGTGATTTAGCGCGGTGGCGGCGGGGGATTCAACACAAGGCGAAGGAGCTGGAGGGGCTCGGGGCCATCTGACGTTTTGTTTCTATGGTCGTAGCATGGATATTCCTTGATTGAAAAGAGCTTGTCGACTCTATGAGTGATCAATGATGGATCAAGGATTGTGGTTGTTGTTCTGTTCTGCTGCGGATAGGCTGAAGCTCTGACTGCTAAGGTAACTAAGCTCAGCACCTGCCCAAGCTGAGACGGGCTAACCCAACAGAACGCTCCTGTCGTGGCGTTTGTGGCACGCCCTAGACGTCTGGGCAGGCTTGGCAGGTATCATTTGACTACATCCGAGCTATTCCCGCTCGTGCAGAGATATCCCGGGTAATATTATAACCAGTTTCTCTCCACCGAACCCTCATCACAAATCTCAAAACCGCGTATAATATGCGACCCCAACAGGCTTGGCTTCGTCTATAGTGGAGCTGGCCATGCTCTTCGCCACCGGCAAGTCAGTTTAAGGCCTAGGACATCGGGTTAATATCGACCCCGAGTACAGGCACAGTAGAGAAAAAGCAAATACTAGTACTACTAAATTAATTAAAGCGGTTTGGTTTGGTTACAGTAATAACTACCACCGTCCATAGTCAAGGTTATATGATTGCAACGCAACTCAAAGCAAGGAAGACACAGCAGTCTCTTCTCTGCTCTACTCGCATTCGCTTAATTTCTCTACAAATTTCCTCTTTCGTAGACGGAGCTCCGATCTCTCTTATGGCACTCTCCCTCTCTCATCGTTATCAAGTACCGATCACCAGGTACCATTTGATCCCATTCGATGTCACGGCTTGGGGTATGTAGTGATCACTAGGTATCATTAAGAAAGACCACTTAATGAACTCCTTGCGATGCTGGTTGCTGGTACAAAAGTCTGTCTTTTGTAAAAATTGAACTCACTCTCCATGTCTCAACAGTCCGGGCGGAATCAGATGTACCTACGCTGCGACACGTTCTCGTCTAATCTCGAGAATCTAGATCTCGATAGCATAGCTCCGAAGCATCTCATAGAATAGTAGTACTGTTGCTGTGCTATACCCCGATCGAGTACACTGTATCCGCACTCCGTACTGTAGACTATGTACAGATTCGTGTCCATTCTTGGCCTTGTAATCATGCGGCACGGTTGCTCATTAAACTGTCTCATCTTTCCACTTGTAGCAAAGATCCAATCCCTTGCCTGTCCAAGTCTGTTTTGCTCTGCTGAGTCTGCTCAGATCTGCTTTGGATCGGGCTTGTCTGTGCCCTGTGAGCAAGCCGTAAATCTCAACGCTCTTAGCCAATCGTTCTGGGGGGAGTCTCAGGTCTCACTACAGGCATTTGCAAATTACAGTCGCCCGTCCCCTGATCTGGTCTTGGTGACATGGTCTAAGTTCAGAGTTCTGTGCTAGAGACGACTGAAGTTAGTTCGTGGTTATTAGGTCCCTTCTAGTGCCAGGGGAGCGGCAAGGGGCGGTATCTTCCGTCACTGAAAGTAAGTGTTCGCATGATTATCAATGCTCGGGGGTCTGCCAAGACGTGAACGTGGCTTCCTGGTCCTCGTGGCCTCCCAGGAGGAGGGTTATCCGGTGCCACGGTACAATTTACAAGACATTAATTTTAGTTTCATTTTCGTATTCACACTGCTAGGTAGACTGTTGAGGCGGGGTAGTCTAATGAGCTGAGCTGTGCGAGTCGTGATGATTACCCTCCAAATTGAGAGTCATTGTCTTACAGAATTGAACATGAAGATTAGCCGTCTTGATGATCGATCGACACAGTACCACAGCCACATACAACGTTTGCTGACTGAGTTATCGTATCGTACTGTACTCGCATAAACATCCATTAAACATACTACCCTACTCTATACATCATGTCATCTATCACACAATTCAGCCTTATAGATAGAGATCTTACAACACTTAGCAAGACTGGGTTTAGGTAGGTAGTATTCTCTCACTGCAACGGCAAGATGAATCCTTCCCATCCCCCCAAACCTACTCCGTAACTTTTCTTCACCCCTACAAGACCCCTGGCTTTCGGGTCGGTTCCTCCACATCAAGCATGGAAGTCGACGTTGCAGTCGTGATGATCACCTTTTTTGGTCTGAATGGCCGTGGGCGACGTCTCCTTTCGCGATCCCGGTACGCGGCTCTTGACCTTGTTATCCAGACGAAGTTACCCAGCCTGGTCCGGTTATCTTACATGCAGTCTTATACCGTACGATTCCTACGTAACTGAGTTGAAGGAATCCATCATTTCCCACTTCTGGCGATGGTCATTATTTTCTCCTATTCGAGGTAGATTCCAGTGGGCTCTGGCCCTCCAATATTCTCCGAAGTTACGGATACCTGCACTGCCTACCATCTTGATCCATGATCCATGATCCATCCCATCCCATCCCATCCCATCCCATTCCATCGGCCACTCAGTTGAGGATACAATAATTGGCACAACGCAGTACGCCGATCCCCTTGACTATACTAAACCTTTTTCGGCCATTGCCCTCTGAAGTGCGCTGGCATATAACGTTATCCGCAGGGATCAGCCAAACTCCCCGGGACTTATGCAAAAGCTAAGTACGTACTAACTAAGACATTGTTTCAGCCTCCAACTCAACTGTGCCCCCCAAAATTTTGGGTGCTAAGGCCCCATTCGTATCTAGGTGTATAAGCAACTTTGCCGATGAACCAACGGAAAAGAGGCCAGACCAACATACCACAGGAATCGCCAAGGCTTTCTGTTTGCCAGACTCAGTAACCAGGGCGTAATGCAGCCCTCCACAAGCACAACATTGTCATGCATGTCTTACATATCATTGCTCCCCGGTCTCGGTCTCACTCTCCCTGTCACTCTCTGATTACTCGGCTCCGAAAGGCGATGGACACCAAGATCAACGGCCGATAGCAGTATTCGTGTGTACAGACTCAGAGCACGGGCTACAAGATTGCCGCCGGCAAGTGCTGAATGCCAAAGCAGCGAGGGATTGTGGAACAGTGTTCCAAAGGATGTCTAGGAAGTGCACTTTCTTCACGGGCACTCTTGGCGTGCCTGGCGTGGTAGCTATAATATACGTAATTGGCCGTTTTGTTGAGGCCCACAGAGGACGTGTCCTGGCTTCTGGAAGGACTTGTGTCAGTTGATGACATGCTTGGGCCTTAACCCAAGTCATGTACACAGCATTAGGGTACGGTACCTAAGCGTCTGTCTACCTGAGGTATCATTCATCTTCGGCAGTGGATCTAACATCTACTGATTCGTGCTTGGCAGCAAACTGCGATATACCTCCGAGAAGTGAGAGAATAACTAACCTACGGATATATAGCACAGTATTAGTGTCTAGTGTCTACCTAACGATAACGTCTAACGGCGCTGCAGTGTGCATGTGCGTGCATACCTATCCTATCTTATCCTATACCTGGTCTGGCCCATCCCAGCGACGGGAGACGGGGAACTTGGGTCAACAAACTAACCTTACCTTTCCGGAAATCAACCTTGTATGCGGTGGGTTAGAACCTTGACCTTGGGAACAGGGGATGGGGATAGCCATAGCCATAGCCTCACCCTCAATGTTAGGTTGGCGTTGTGTGATTTCTTGAGAATTAGGCGATGCACAGTACCGGGACTCAAAGACTTGGAGCTGACATTGGATGGGACCAATTTAGTCTCCCCCCCCGCTGGCCCAATTGTGGGTTGACTGACAGTCGGCGATGTAACCTCATCTGGTAGCTCCGCAAGAACGTGCAACAACGCCTACCAGGTAGTGTACTAAAGTAAAACCAACACAAAATGACTGCGAACAATGATGACTCGGACTTTGCCAAAAGCCCGGTATGGAGATATTATGTCATCTTCCAACTCAACTATCCGTACCCATTAGATAATAATCGACTCACCGATCATGATGGGATGGGATAGGATGGGATGGGATTGATTGTCACTGACCTGAATCATGAAAGACCATTCTTTCTTTGGATACTAATCATGCATGCCCTGATTGCATCCATTGATGGTAGCCCACCTGGCAGCTTACATACTGCATGCAGTACCTACTAGGTACTGTACCTGTACCTGTACCAGTACAGCCAGGCCAGGCCAGGCCCAGGCTATTCTTTCCATCCTGTCCCGTCCCGTCCAGGCTTAGGTACCTAGTAATTCGACTTGGCACTCTTGGCCAAACACATCCCGAGCTCATCTGCTCATTTCCTACTCGCTGCGGAAGGTTCCGTGCGGCTAGCTCGGGTATAAACGAATCAATCGTGGCCGAGCCGTGCCAGCATCTTAAATCAACCAACAAAAGTCGCAGAAACTAACGTTAGCAGCTTATAATTAGCAGAGCTTCCATTCAACTGAACTGTAGTCTGTGCCTACCTACCTGTATACGAATAACTCATCGGAGAAAATCTCGGTAAGGCTGTCACGGCTTGCTGTCTTCAGTCAAGAATCCCGAGGGTACAAATGGCTACACTCGGTTGACTTCATCATCAAGCTCTGTGGCTTGCCCGTTTCTGTGATGGATAGTTTCAACTCTCCCTGCTGAAACTTTTATATTACACATTGAACGGCTTGGAGGAACTCACCGTGTCGGAACGCCCTCAAGAGTCAGAAGTACCAAACAAAGACAACAGACATATCATGAGACAGGGTACAAGACTTTTCGTCCGTGATCTACAATCTATGTAATGAGTCTCCACGTACGTGCAAAAGAAATACTGAAGATCTAGATAGCTCTTCCACGAATCATAGATTGGTAGTAGTGTAAGGGAATCAGAATACCCATACCAGCGCACCGGTACAGATACAATTTGTTGGTTCGGCAGTACCCGAGCAGTGTTTCAGAGCACAGCTACGGATAGTCGGAGGAAGATGCATCGACCTGCTGGTTTAGGGCAGAGTTCCTCAAGTCAACCTTACGTTGCTTAAAGCGTCGGAAATTTGATGCTTTGACTCTCGAATTTTACAGTTGACTATGTGAGTGTTCAAAAGGGGAAGGCCAATACGATTTATATCTTCACCCTGTTTTATGTTTTATGCGTTGTCTGAGCTTTTAACCCCCTGCATATCTCTGGACTTGACTCCATCGGCAAACTTCAAAAGCTCGAGTTGAGCCTGGTCGGGCTTGCTCTACCGCACCTCATTCTGTTAGGAATAGTCTAGTCGATATAGAGGCAGAGTGAAATTACCTTACAAATGTGACGGCAGCCCGGCCTGTGAAACTTTGGCTTTATTCAGTTAGTTAAAACGCCTGTGGCTTGACTACAATACAGTTTAGGAGGTGAGTAAATGTGGGTGTGGATAACCGGTAGTCTAACGTTCAAAACCCGTCATTGTTGAGAACAAGAAACATCATGCTAAATTCACTCGTCATCCGTTCCTTTGGCAATTAATTCCAATTTTGGAATCAAGCTTCTAACATATGTGTGTTGCATTTTAGTTGTTCGATCGCACGGAGCTTGATATTGCAGTAGTTGCTTTACAACCTTCAACGGACAGCTATAGCAACGTATCACACAGCCTAGACCATGATCTGATATCTTTTTTCCAGGGTCTTGGCGGCGGATCAGAACTTCACAAGGGCTTTGGCGAAGCTAGTTCCTACACAGTCTAGGTAGCGAGGCACATGCTGGATCTTTGCCGTGCCTCTTCCCTCGGATGCCGTGCAGGGCACCGGCTGCTTACCCGGCCGTCCCTCCATGCTTTTTCGTTGACGGCTCAGTCCTGCACAATTTACAGAGAACTCAACTATCACTGGCGGACTTTCAACTGTCATAATGACCAGGAGGAGAGTACCCGGGATCATGGTGACATGACTGGTCGCGACATGTGGTATCCAACTTTATGATTGACCATAACAACAGCCTGTCAATTCCACTTTGATTGTTGCATGTAGACAGGGCCGAGGTATAACTCACAAGTAAACAGTTATTGATTTGGGATGTCGAATTGACGCCGTTTTGATCTATTTACTCCCCTGGCAAGTCATTGCGATCTGCAGCCTGCAGCGGCATCCAAGCTTCCCATCATGCATGATCCGGAAATTATCACGGGTATTGTCATGTACTGAAAACCTCCACCATTATCCAGGACACTTTTCCTCTTCACAGTGCCTTCTTTAACATGTGATTAAAGAGATTGGTGGTGTCCGTCGATTATATTACTCGATAATTTCTTAATTTCAATAGCAGTACTGGGTGGGTGAGATTCTTATATCCGGAAGAGCAACACAACAGAACGTCATGTTACATACGGATCATTCCGTCTGCAGCTACCACGATCTGGTGCTATTCAAATAACAGTATATTCCTCTCCTTGAATGATGTCTCTATCATTAATGGCTGAGTAGATAGAAGATTCAAAAACGACACCTAGTCACAGGTTGATACAGCATCATAAACAGCCTTAACGCACTGTAGCTAGACAACTGTCTCTGTGTGGTGGGACAAACTACAAGGTCAACAGCTACCACTTGCTTTGGAGATATACTAGAGGTGGTCCAGATCTATCGACAAGCTGTTCCACGACCATTGTTAATCTTAATTCAAAACTCCCGTTGATGTTGGGTTGCCACTGGAATGATACTTACCCTATACTATGCCTTACATGATGTGATTCGTTAGAAAGTACCTTGAACTTCACAGCTACTAGACCACAAGATAAGTACTCTCTAACAGCACTCAATAACCAACCAGACTCCAGAAAAAAGTTAATTGCGGATCAACGCATCTTTGATTCTATCCCAAGAATTTCGCGATCACGACTCTATTACCCAACGATTGTGCGAGTCAGACTAGAACTTCCAAGACAACTTCCCAATAACAAAGTGACCGAACTCGAACGAGCCGTATCATACACAAGATGTCACAAGATCAAGCTCAAGCTCAAGCTCAAGCGCAACCGCCGCTGCCTCCCCGCAATGGCTTCATTCACAATTCTGCCATGGCTGGTGCCATCATTCTACCCCTTGCGATGCTTCTCCCACCACGAAAGATAGATTTAAGATTCTTCGTCCTCGCTGGCGCATGGTCGCTTGCTACAAACCAGCTCGCCTACGAGTACACAGGGTCATCGATCTACTCGCGCTTCGGCAATCGGGTGGGTTCCATGATGGGAACCGAGCTGCCCGAGGGTGCTCAGCGCACACAAAAACTACTACGAGAACATCGCGAGCGTGAAGCGGCGCTTAGGGCCAAGGAGGGACAGCTGGCCCAAGAAGAGAAGCCCGGTGTGGTGGCCAAGACGCTCAACGACGTATGGATGGGAGGCGAGGAGAAGGGTTGGAAAGAGAAGCGTGTTAAGGAGCATCAACAAAAAATCGAGGAGGGCAAGGGAATCGGCGATATTATCATGGACCAGGTTGCCGATGTCTGGTACGGCAATTGGGGAAAGGGTGCTAGGAAGCAGGACGACGAAAACTCGACCGAGAAGAAGTAATGACGACTACGATACCGAGCGGGCTCTTTAAGAATCCTAACCTGGCCGTCGACAACAGCCGACTTGTGCAAGACCAACTGTATTACTATTGACGAAAAAGATGGAGGATAGCTGAAGAGCAAAACTCTTGGAGCATCCAGCGAGGCGGACTTGATGAATATACCCCAAAGCAGGGACGATTCATTTTATGTACGAAATACCACATTGTATACTATGATTGTATCATCTACTCAAAATTTCGATGACCCGAAACAAGCCATATGCGGCGCTGACCGTCTATGTAGTCAGCGTCAACAGCACCATAGAGCCAGGAGTGGTAGAAGGACGCCAAGACGAATATGCTGCTGACATACCGGCCCTTACCAGGTCTTTGTCTACATCGGTTCAGATGTGCGCATGGCGTTTTGGTTTGCTATTGGCAATTCGACGGCGGGCTGCGTCAATAGACCGCAACAAAGAATCATGGGGAAGGCCGCATGAGGATTATGCTGGCGATGATTCTTGGAATGGAAAACAGCTGTCAGATTGAATAGCAAGCAAGTCTTCCTATGTGAGATGGGTGAGCAATTGCCTGACATGGCTTCCAAGAGGCGGCGCACTGAGCGTCTAAGGGCACTGGTCGAGCATACTCTTGTCCTTCCATCTCGGCATCTAACGAGACCAAAAGAGGTTGGACACGAAGCAAAGTGAGCATTAAAAAACCTGACCGTCAAGAACACCGGAGAACTAGAAATGGAATAATTTGGTCGTTTGATGCCAGTTTAGACGCAATTAAGCCACTTATTTCTATTACCCTCGTCTGGAGGAGAACTCTTCTAATCTGCAGTAGGTACGGTATCTAGGTAGACACTGAAGTTGTCTGGTAGGAGTTAAATCGGAAGCCGTACAGTAGGCGATAATGATGCAGTAAAACCCCAGGGCTGGGCTACATCGACGAGTTCCACTTCGAAAATGGAATACGGGGGAAGATTCGTCAGCTTCGGTAGTGGCTGTGGTTGGCTTATTTGCATCAGCCACGAGGACACATAATTCAACATGAAGCGGGGATGTGGGCTGCTTGATGATTGCCAGTCTGTAAATTGAAAAGTCGGGCTGTGATAGCAATGATTATCGTCGATAGATTTGGTGTGATCTGTGCAACATGAACGTTGAAGAATGGGTGTTTGCAATTGATGGATAGTGCAAAGAACTTAACTCAGTATCCAATGGAACCCGGACTAGAAGTCAGGCAAATGCAGCAGGACACTAACAGTCGCACAACGAGTTGCTTGAGATGTTAGCAAGCCAATATGCGGCATTTGCGTTAGTTAGATACTCCTTCATCCCATCTTGAAGATCCATGGATGTATCAAATAAGGCTCAGGGCTGCCAGAAAACAACCTAAGGCAATTGCCGTTCTAATTTAAGAACATGTGGCGCTTAAACCCAAAATGAGTGAGGCTCAACGGCTCTCAAGTGCCCAAGGTACCCTCCAAAAAGCCTTCAGACGACTCAAGTCCCAGTGATCGACCTTTCAGTTGCAGGGATATATGGCTCACAGCTGTCAGCACAGCCCCGGTACTGTACGTCACCGTCACTCACTATGAGTTGTTTCGTCATCTGTTGCATCCAGTCAGCACGAGAATTTCTGTTCACGTTTGCTGTAATGCAGCAGTGTATACTGTAGCGTACTGTAGCAGGGCTGTTACCTAGGACCAAGGCTGCCTCAATGATAAAGATACATACCTACTTCAGTACACCCAAGGAGCATCTTCCCTCTCTGCTCCTCCTACCTTACCTAGTACCTATTTTCACTCTTTGACATCTCTCGTTTTTTCTTTGGCGTTTGTTACGAAACGACCTATTATCAGCGAGACCAATTTAACGAGCCAAAGACCCGCTATTTTCCACGCGTAGCCTGTGCTTTAGCCCAATTAGAACTAACCTTCCACGCAATCCAGACCAGTCTTTTTACGTCCCTGGCGACCCTTGAAACAGCCCAGCCCAGTTGAGCTGAAGTTCAGGACGGGACCTGACTTGGGATTCTCAACTTACCGACCAGCCACTTTCGTATATTTTTTGGTTCAACATCTCCAAGCCTAGGAACGATAACACTTTTATCATCCACGGCCATACTCTCTCTTTGGAATAGCATAGCGGTGCTTTGGATATTCGTCACTTGCCTAGCTCTCAGATAAGCGAATTTGCATCTGCGACGCTGTCTCGCTGCTCTGAAACAGCTTGTTGCAATAGCATCCCTTTCTTTCGTTGCCGCTTGGCGGCTTACTCTTCCGTCCGCTACGTAACCTCTTCTCGTCGCCCGATAAACTCTCCTTTCTCTGTCAACCATGGCTTCACACGGTTACTACGGCGGCGACCAACAAGCCCCCTACGGCGCCGGTCAACACTCCTCGCCTTACTACCAAAACCACGATACTCCATCGCCGCAATCAACACCAGCACCACCCTACGAGCAAAACTCGTACAACCCGAACTACGCCCCCGACACCTCCATCTACCCTGCCGACTCTACAACACACATCGTTCCGACCAAGCAGACACCGTACTCGCCAAATGACATACAATATAACCCATCAAACGCTTATGGTAGTTCCTCTGGTCAGCACAACCAGCCTGGTCAAACTGGTCAGTCTCCTTTCGACACCGTCTTTGACGATCATGTATACCCAGCGAACCCGAACGCGGGCCCGACTCCCGGCTCCAGTACGGCTGACATTGGTCAACAAGGCTTCTATCAAGATACAAGCTATCATGGAGGAGCTTCAGGTGCAGCTGGACAGCCTTATGGCCAAGAGGATATTCCTCTTCAAGACCGGACCCCAAAGAATGATGATGTTGAGATGAACGATCACGTTTACGATGCCCCTGGACGACCTAAGAAGAAAGGCAAGAAGGGCAAGGTTCGTCTCGGTGAACTTGGCATGATAGGGTCTGATAAAAAGAGAATCCCTTGGGTTGTCTACATCTTTTCTGCTATTCAAATTGCCGTTTTCATCGCTGAAGTGGCCCGGATGGGTAAGTAAAGGAACAAGAAAAAAACGGCGTGAAAGAACGTCTGGGCTAACTTAAACCCAGGTGTACTTACTGGAACTCCTATTGCGATCAAGCCACAATTCAACGTCTTTATCGGTCCATCACCCGGGTTACTCATCAATATGGGTGCACGATACGCACCTTGCATGCGCAATGTCAAGGGTATCCAAAGTGTCGACGCAAGTAAAGATGGTGCTGTCATTCCCGGTCTTCTCTGCCCGAACGCTACTACGTCGACCAGCTTTTGCCCTCTTCACGTCGTATGTGGTTTCGGCGGCGACGTCCCGGATCCCAAGTTCAATGGCGATATCAATCAGAGTCCCGAGCCCAACCAGTGGTACCGATTTATTCTTTCGATCTTCATGCACGCTGGCCTCATCCATATCATTTTCAACCTTCTTTTACAGCTCACGATCGCGAAAGAGATGGAGATGGCCATTGGATCGATCCGATTCCTGCTAGTCTATATGAGTGCTGGAATTTTCGGTAACATCATGGGCGGAAACTACGCGCCACCTGGGCAGCCATCTGTTGGTGCTTCTGGCGCTCTCTTTGGTATCATTGCTCTGGTTCTCCTCGATCTTCTATACTCTTGGAAGGACAGACGCAACCCAGTCAAGGACCTGCTCTTCATCATTCTCGATATGGTGATTGCGTTTGTACTTGGACTTTTGCCTGGATTGGATAACTTTGTACACATCGGTGGTTTCTTGATGGGTCTCTCCCTTGGTGTCTGTGTTCTGCACTCCCCTAACTCGCTGAGACGACGGATGGGTGAGGGGCTCTCATATGCAGCCGTATCCCCCCAGACGGGTGAGACCCCCCCTCACTTTTTCAAGAACCCTGTCGGATTCTTTAAAGGACGAAAGCCACTCTGGTGGGCTTGGTGGCTCGTTCGAGCGGCCTTCCTTGTCATGATCATTGTTGTTTTCATCGTTCTCCTGAACAACTTTTACAAGTACCACGATACCTGTGAATGGTGCAAGTACTTGAACTGCCTTGTAAGTTTCCTCTCAGCCGCGAAGAATTATACCAACTAACTTACGACAGCCCATCAATGATTGGTGTGAATGGGGATCATTTGAGAACCTCAAACCCGCTGAGTAACGAAATGCTTCTCATGATTTCGAGGAGTTGTTACAACGGTCACATATTCGCCAGCATCCAATTTAACAATGCGTGGTTTAAGATAGCGACATGTACGTTAATTATGCAACTTGTACATTGCACAGCATCGGCGTCGTTGGGCAAACTCGATATTATTCTTTTGACTTGTTAGGGCTTCGATGGATGCTGGGCATTGTTCTATTTATAGTGTTAATTCATGAAGCAACGAGATCTTCGATATATATCTCACTTTGATAATTGTATCTAAATCGCTGATTCACATGGGGAGGCATGTGTTAAAAATTGACAACTATCTGCCCGCTCTGCTTTTAACTCGGGACACATCAGGCATTCCTCTGATACAACGAACACCCAGACAAGGATGTAAAACAAGGGTTAGTAATTCTATTACCTGAGGTTGCAGCTCTTGGCTGTGATCAGGCTCAACCAACATAGCAATCATGCGATACCCCGCATGTTGTGACTCGTGGAACGGTGAAATGGATGGTGTACATTGTTTGATGATTGATCACTTGGCTGTGGTATAAATGGCACTCCCTACCTCTTGTCTTCTCCCTAACACTTGTGACTGCGTGCAACCTCTCTTGTGAAGATCGAAGGTGGTCAAGTGCTTCTGCGAATACAATCTTTCCATTGCCTACTCTTTGGTGTAAGAGCAGCAATTCCCCAAGGTCAAGTAAGTCTTTTGAAGCTTTAGTTCACTTCATGAATTCATGATGAATCCTTTACAATGCATGGCTTAGCTGAACATCCCGAAAGGGACTACGGATGCTTTTAGAATGGATGTCTGAATATGTTGTCTTTTCTCAGTTGTATTCTGTTCTTTTGTAATAGTACACTCTTGCTGATGCGACAATTCCTAGGCGTAAACGGAAGACTAAGCTGTGATGGTGAGAAATTTGATGAATAGTTTGTTTTAGCCGGCACAAGTATCGAACTGAACTAGAAGTGTTCTAATTATTTTAGTAATTATACTCAATTTAATGAATCTCTGTATCGTGACTTGTATGTGGTGTTTCGAAATTGGTGCCTTGCTGGTAGCATCCAGTATCAGGCATGAAGAGGCGACGCCAAAGCACGTGATAAAGACTTCGGCGGCGTAAGTGGAGTCAGTCACGTCACGCTTCTCGAGTCGCGCTACGCGGTGGCTTTCAATTAAAGTCGTGTCGTCGATTTCAAACCCACCAGAAATCTCCCCTGTTAGAGTCTCCCCTCCAACCGTTTAGTGTCAACAATCACAATCTACCAGAGAACTCCTCAATCACTCTTCATCTTCATCTCTGTGGATGTGTGTATGATTTTTGATTGACTCCATTCCTTTTCTCTACTCTCTTTCCTGTTCTTCGTTCCACAGTATCGCATTCGCCACCGCCCGTCATCATGGCAAGCGCAGTCCTCTCTCAAAAGCGAGTTCTGGGCGAGAACAACGCTCGTCAGAACATCACATCCTCTCCTACTTCAGCGAAAAAACGCAAAGTTGATGCCATTCCTTCATCTCCCGCTACCGCAAGGGTTCCCGGTTCTCAGAATGACCACCGATCCAAGATGGCTGCCAGCCAGCCAAAGAGTGCTTTCGAATCAGAAGTTCTCGAAAAGCTCAGCCAAGATTTATCGGATAGGAAACGAAATAATACCGAGAAAGATCAAGCATGGGATCGACCACCTTTAGTTGACTTCGTACCCGAGCGTGACAGTCTTTGCTTCCAGTCTATCGAGGCAGAAGAGGGCACATTACATGGTGGAAGGGCTACTGTCAAACTGTTTGGTGTGAACGAGGCAGGAAACTCGGTCATGCTTCACGTCACTGACTTCAAGCACTATCTCTATGTCCCTGCCCCAGTCAACTTCCAGCCTCAGGATTGTGCAGCCTTCAAGGCCTACCTGGAGACACAGGTTGCCCAGCACCAACCTACCATTCACTCCGTTGCTTTCGCCATGAGAGAAAACATCTACGGATTCCAAGGAAACCAGTCCAAGCCTTACTTGAAGGTCACCGTCACTGACCCCAAGTTCATCAACAAAGTCCGCACCACTATTCAGAGCGGCAATGCCAACTGGAAAGGAATGTGGAGGAATGATGGCGAAGTTCAGACATTCGACAATCTCCAATATTTGCTGCGATTCATGGTTGACTGCAGGGTAAGGATCACCGTGTAGCTCTTTAGTTTGGTTTTTAACATTTGATAGGTTCGAGGCATGTCCTGGGTTGAAGCTCCAGCAAAGACTTACAAGCTCGTCAACGACCACATCCGCCAATCGAATTGTCAGATCGAAGCTGAAGTTAGCTATCTTGATCTCATCGCGCATGAGCCGGTCGGCGAATGGTCGAAAATGGCGCCATTACGTATTCTGTCCTTTGATATCGAATGTGCTGGTCGCAAGGGTATCTTTCCTGAGGCAAACCACGATCCTGTTATCCAGATCGCCAACATCGTCACTAAATATGGAGAGAAGAAACCCTTCGTCCGAAATGTTTTTTGTTTGCAGGAGACAGGCTCTATTGTAGCAACCCAGATTCTCGAGTACGAAAAGGAGGAGAAGATGCTTAGCGACTGGCAAAAATTCCTGATCAGAGCCGACCCCGATATCATCACTGGTTACAATATTTCCAACTTCGATTTTCCATACTTGCTCGACCGAGCAAAGCATCTTAAAGTACCCGGATTTGAGTACTGGACTCGAATCCCCAGCATGCAGTCTAAAGCCAAGGAGACCAACTTTTCCAGCAAGCAGATGGGTAACAGAGATACCAAAGCCACCAATACCAACGGTCGATTGCAATTGGATCTTCTTCAGCTGATTCAGCGCGACCACCACCTTCGAAGTTACACTCTGAACTCTGTTTGTGCCAATTTCTTGGGCGAGCAGAAGGAAGATGTGCACCACACCATGATCACCGAACTCTTCAACGGTACCCCTGAGTCTCGAAGACGTCTCGCTCTGTACTGTTTGAAAGATGCATACCTTCCGCAGAGACTGATGGACAAGCTGTCATGTTTGGAAAACTACACTGAGATGGCAAGAGTCACAGGTGTACCCTTTAATTTCTTGCTCTCCCGAGGTCAACAAATCAAGTTCATCAGCCAACTGTTCCGAAAAGCACTGGAGCAGAAGCTCGTTATCCCCAACCTCAAGTCAGAAGCTTCTGATGAACAGTACGAAGGTGCCACGGTCATTGAACCTACTCGAGGTTACTACGATGTTCCAATCGCCACGCTGGATTTCGCATCTCTGTATCCCAGTATTATGCAGGCACACAACCTTTGTTACACCACGCTAGTCAGCAAGAAGGCCATCGAAGCTTTCAATCTCCAAAAGGATGAGGACTACATCGTTACTCCAAATGGCGATACTTTTGTGACAACTAAGCAACGCAAGGGCTTACTGGCGCAGATTCTCGAGGAATTGCTAGCTGCACGTAAACAGGCCAAACGTGAACTGGCCGTTGAGACAGACCCTTTCAAGAAGGCTGTGCTGAATGGTCGACAACTGGCTTTGAAGGTCAGCGCAAACAGTGTTTACGGTCTGACAGGTGCAACGACAGGAAAGCTTCCTTGTCTTGAAATTGCCAGTAGTACAACGAGTTTTGGCCGAAAGATGATTGAAAAGACCAAAGAAGAAGTGGAAAAACGCTACAACATCGCCAACGGTTACTCACACGATGCTCAGGTCATCTACGGTGATACTGATTCAGTCATGATCAAGTTCGGCACCAAGGACCTCCAGGAAGCCATGAAGCTCGGTGAGGAAGCATCAAAGTTCGTGTCGGAAAAGTTCGTGAAGCCGATCAAGCTTGAATTCGAAAAAGTGTACTTCCCATACCTTCTCATCAACAAGAAGCGTTATGCGGGTCTCTACTGGACCAAGCCGGAGAAGTATGACAAGATGGACACCAAGGGTATCGAGACGGTACGACGTGACAACTGTCTTTTGGTGCAGACTGTGATCGAGAAAGTCCTACGAATGATCTTAATTGATCAAGATGTCCAAGGCGCACAAGAGTAAGTCCTCCCTTCAGTCACGCTTCGTCATGCATAAGGTTATCAACCCTTATCTGGTGGCGCAAGGCAAAAGCGGGATGCTAACGGTAGATTCAACTAGGTACGTCAAAGAGACGATTGCAGATCTGCTGCAAAATAAGGTCGACATGTCGAAATTGGTCATCACAAAAGCCCTTGCAAAGGATGATTATGCCGCAAAGCAAGCCCACGTCGAGCTGGCACAACGGATGAAGAAGCGAGATGCAGGCTCGGCCCCGGGACTCGGTGACCGAGTGGCCTACGTCATGGTCCGAGGCCCTGCCGGCGCCAAAAACTTCGAGAAGTCGGAGGACCCCATCTACGTGCTTGAGCACAACGTGCCGATAGATACGCGCTACTACCTGGATAACCAGCTAGCGAAGCCACTCGGCCGTATCTTTGAACCGATTCTCGGGGAGACCAAGGCGCGCTCTCTACTCACAGGCGACCACACGCGAGTCATCTCAGTAGCGGCTCCTACCGTTGGAGGTCTCATGAAATTCGCCAAGAAGACACAGACATGCATGGGTTGCAAGAAGCCTCTGACAGGAAAAGAGGAGTCTGAGGGAGCGGTATGCTCCAATTGCGCGCCTCGAGTGGGCGAGCTTTACAAGAAGACGCTTGATCGCGTGTCAGACCTCGAAGTACGCTTCGGGCGACTGTGGACCCAGTGTCAACGCTGCCAGGGTAGTATGCACTGCGAGGTTATCTGCAGTAGCAAAGATTGCCCCATTTTCTATATGCGCATGAAAGCTAAGAAAGATCTTGAGGATGCTGGTCGCGAGCTCACTCGGTTTGATGCTGACCAGGCGGCCATATGGTGAGGAAATCGACCAGGAGTTGAAGTTCCTATCTTCAAGCGTGGTTTGGCAAAGACTTGTATGTTCGGTAATGCAAGAGCTTCTCTTGGAAGAGTGGCCAGTAATAGGGTATATTGTATGGACAGTCGCAAGATATGGTTTGGTGCTGTATATCATTTTATGTACGTAAGGCGTTCCGGGGTTTGGAGCCAGGGCTCAACGTTGCTACAGATATTACCACATTTATGTCAGGCAGAATAGAGCATATGACATTGGATATCAATCTACAGTATTATGTGTATTTCTTTTTACCAGGAGACATAACCAAGTGATGTTTAGGAATATGGTATACCACTCACTATTAAGAATATTAAATCTCTTGTCAAAACAGTGAAGATGAGAATGGCATGATCACTCTCGATCTGTGCGTGTTTTGAGGGCTTTTATCCCTTGCTCTGCCCAAAGGACCCAGGACATTCTCCGCGGAAGGGAACTCTAGGCAAGACCGTGAATAGACCGACGACGGTGGACTAACTTAATGTCTGGTGTTGAAGTTTTCAAGAGAACGAGTAATTTACGGGATTGTGACAAATGAACGGAACAAGTCGGAATGGAGCAACTGTATTGTATGTTCGGTGGCCAAGGATAAGGATGATGGCATGAGGGGTGCAGATGGGGGTCAGAGTCATGATGGGGGGGATTCCATCGTAGGAGAAAGAATTCATTCATGATGAAGGTAGTCAAAGCCTAAACGGCGGTCTCGGAGGCATGACGGTAGGTGGCTCGGTGGTCTAATCCGGACGTTTTTGCTGTAAACGGTGGTGCTCGGAGAGGATCCGAAGTGCAGGAGACTGGGCGATTCGGGTGGACATGTAAGTCCGAACCAGTTTGTGAGATCAGATCCGTTAACGGCAGCACAAAAGATTGCAGGTAACCTCGGGCAAAATAGTAGCGAGGAGTGAAGCGGGAGACTAAGGGTTGCTAATCGGTCCGTGGAGACGTTGATGAGAGAATATTGGTCTCCCCAGATTCTACGGTCCTACCATGTCAATCTCCACCGGCAAAAGAGGCGATGTAAAGGCTCGGAAAGGATTTCGGCAACATCTCATGGCCTGGGGTTGGCTGTGTCATGGTTTGATGGTGTAGATCTTTTATTGTCAAGGGAACTATCAAAGAAGGTCATTGGCTGGAGGGTGAATTGATGTCAATTCATTCTTCAAACAAGATGACAAGGCGGCCAATGAGAATGGCCTGATAGTATCTGGACTTCAGGGTCTGGGGGGAGTGTCGATATTTGGCTGTAGGATATATCCATTACCCATTTTACCAGCGTCTAAACCACTGCAGGTTTCCATTGCATGGTCGGAGGAAAAGGCCGGGGACAGTACAGTAATTCAGGGACTAGGGTAGCATGTGCATTGTAGATGCAGCGGTATTCCCGCATCAGCAAGTCGATTCTGATTCGACAGAAAGCAAGATTGATTTCCTTTCCGGGATATTGTAATAGCTGTTTGGGTTCAGAATTGGTAATGGATTTTATGATTTGATGCGCTTCGTCGGACTAAGATCCCGGGAGCTTGGCTGTCGATGCATTCGACACGCGACAGGCAATTTGATGCTTAGATTTAGGTTGGTCATAGTGAAGAAAGATAGAGTGTGGCGGCTAAAGACACAATTACAATTATTCGAGATTTGCATAGGTAGCGATCAACGTGGGATACAGTACAGTACAGCAAGAGACCTTTGGTGATAATCATGACAAGTGTGGGGTGAGTTGTTACTCTTTACTGGAGCTGAGAGCTCTTGGTTGGAGAGAGTGAGACAATATTGAGAATGTACTGTATCGAGTCAGCTCAAATTGCCGCTGAGCTGAAAATTGATGAATGATGATGATGATTACATCGAAACCAAGATAAGACGCGTACAGTACCTGAGTACCTAGTATAATGTATGGCCAGTCAGGAAATATAGAGTAGAGTAAAGTAAAACCCCCACCACACGGGAAAAAGTGGCGAGCGTGGAGGTTGGGTATGAGACAGAGCGAATGGAAAAGATCTGATAATAAAGGCGGAATAATGAGGGTTGGCTAATAAGAACCGTATCATGATGAATGAATGGTTCAAGATTGATCTTTACTAGACATGGGATGGTACGACAATTGCTGCCGTGCCATGCCGTGCCATGCTGTGCTGTGCTTTGCAGTACCAAGACGGTAGCCAGGACCTACATTGCCGATGGGAGTACAATTGGTAAGAGCGAATATCGGAGCATGAAGATCCAATGGATGGATGCCCAAGAGAGTGGTAGATTAGCTGCAAGAGATCCATTGAGTGGGTGGTGGGTACGGAGACGGCAGATGAGAGGACCCTCGGGTGTATTATTAGTGGCCTTCACATGCTACTGTACCTACAGAGTGTTAACGTTGGTATGACGATGAAGCATTACAGCAACATATTTGACTACCCGTATTCTCAAATGACAATTCTTCCACTACAGATGATACCTAACTAGGTGTTGTTCATCGCAAACAGAAGATACAATACTGAATCAAACATCAATATCCATTATAGAACCCCCAGGGTGTAACAATGCCCCTGGTCTACTCTAGTACAGTATGTGGGGTGTGGATACTGGGGTTTATCGGGAACGACCAAAAGATTAGACTAGGGTGTGTCTTGTCACTCGATTAGATGGGATAATAGTAACTAATGCGGGTGCGTATCGAGTGAGTTCTTTATTGACCTACGGACCTTCTTTTTTATCTCTGAACACGGTAGTGGAAGGTACTTGGATCTCCTGCCATTTTACCTCCCAACATCATGTAACTCGTTCCTTCCGCTCCTATCAATTGCCATTACCATTACCATTCCCATCGGTATGGATATCGGATGCAGACGTGGATGCCATGACGGAAAGAGCAACGGGTCGTCGCCATGACATGGACTAGACATTGATATCCCCTTCCTTCCTTCCACGCCTCAACAACCATATAAACCTCGAGTCCCGTCACCTTCCACTCGACTTCTCTCCTTCTTTATCTCACTCTTGAACAATCCATCAAGTATATCGAATTCATCAACAAACGCCCTTTAACAAGGCATCAACCAAAACCTCCTTCGATATACAACCCAAATGCAGCTGAACACCATGTCTCACCTCCCTCACGAGCCCGAGTTCGAGCAGGCTTACAGCGGTAAGCAATGTCCATTCACAACACCCAGCAACTCCCATTCTAACTTAGATTGATAGAGCTCGCCTCTGCCCTCGAGAACAGCTCTCTCTTCAACGAGCACCCCGAATACCGCACTGCCCTTGCTGTTGCTGCCATTCCTGAGCGTGTTATTCAGTTCCGTGTCGTCTGGGAAGACGACAAGGGCAACCTTCAGGTCAACCGCGGTTACCGAGTCCAGTTCAACTCTGCTCTTGGCCCCTACAAGGGTGGCCTCCGACTTCACCCCAGCGTCAACCTGTCCATTCTCAAGTTCCTTGGCTTCGAGCAGATCTTCAAGAATGCCCTGACTGGCCGTAAGTATCCTCATCGTCGCACTACTCTAGACCCTTGACTGTCCCTGCATATTGCGGGGTGACGGGAGTGGCCCAGAGAATGATAATAGAAACAGACTTGCTAACAAGCTTTCTAGTCAGCATGGGTGGTGGCAAGGGTGGCGCCGACTTCGACCCCAAGGGCAAGTCCGATGCTGAGATCCGACGATTCTGCCAGTCTTTCATGACTGAGCTGTCCAAGCACATTGGTGGCGAGACTGATGTTCCCGCTGGTGATATCGGTGTCGGTGGCCGAGAGATCGGTTACCTCTTCGGTGCTTACCGCAAGCTCCGCAACCGCTGGGAGGGTGTCCTTACTGGTAAGGGTCTCTCTTGGGGTGGTAGCTTGATCCGTCCTGAGGCTACTGGTTATGGTCTTGTCTACTACGTCGAGTACATGCTTAAGCACGCCAACCGCGGCACCTTCGAGGGCAAGCGCGTTGCCCTGTCTGGCTCTGGCAACGTCGCCCAGTACGCCGCTCTCAAGATCATCGAGCTTGGCGGTTCCGTCGTCTCTCTTTCCGACTCCAAGGGTGCTCTCGTCGCCAAGGAAGATTCCTCCTTCACTCCTGAGCAGATCCACAACATCGCTGCTCTCAAGATTAAGCACCAGTCCCTGACTGCTTTCGAGCACGAGGACAAGTTCACATGGATTGAGGGTGCCCGCCCCTGGGTCCACGTTGGCAAGGTCGACATTGCTCTGCCCAGCGCTACCCAGAACGAGGTCAGCAAGGAGGAGGCTCAGGCTCTCCTCGATGCTGGTGCTTTCATCGTCGCTGAGGGTTCCAACATGGGCTGCACTGCTGATGCTATTGATGTTTTCGAGGCCCACCGTAAGGAGAAGGGTGTCCAGGCTCTCTGGTACGCTCCTGGCAAGGCTTCCAACTGTGGTGGTGTTGCTGTCTCCGGTCTTGAGATGGCCCAGAACAGTCAGCGTATCCAGTGGTCCGAGAAGGAGGTTGATGACCGCCTCAAGGCCATCATGAAGGATGCCTTTGTTGCTGGTCTTGAGACCGCTCAGAAGTACGTCGAGGCCAAGGAAGGTGAACTCCCCAGCTTGGTCGCCGGTAGCAACATTGCTGGCTTCATCAAGGTTGCCCAGGCCATGCACGACCAGGGTGACTGGTTCTAAGATGGATAGTCAAGAAAAGTGTGGGACGAGAGCAACCTAAGACCAAAGTGAAAGACCATTATACCCGAGCTGGGCTCACATTAAGGTTGTTTGGTCCTCTCAGGAGAACTCTCATACAAAGTCCCTGCTTGTTTCTGCATGGAACGGCGTTTTCTTTGGCACTATCTGGGTATGCATTCAGTTGGGCGTTTGGGGTTCGAAATACTTCTAGATAGACTTGGTTTCTTATTTTATGGCTTTGTTCTTGGCCCGATAGTACGAAGAATGAAAGATTACATTTTGGTTTCAAAGACACTGCCACCGTGAGATTACTGCAAGACACGATTTGGTTCATATCTGCTTACTGCGACGCGAACACTCCTTTGCTGTCACCAACGCTTAGGTCAAACCGCTTATTTCTCTTACATTGTTTGTCATGATGGGCATCTTGAGAAATAGTTCGATAGCTTCGTTCAAGAGCCATTCACCACGAATTCGTATGTGGCGATAAGGACAGAATCTCATCAACTTATGTGAATTTCAGTCATGTTTGATACAACTGAAGATAGAGGTGTGTCCTTGTAGTGAAGAAGACTCAGCATCTACCCAGTGATCAGTTGATTGCTCATAGGGAACCAATGATGGAGATGTGTAGTTCATACAGAGCATCGCAGCTTATTATAGGTAGTTGGCAGCCACAGAAAGAAGGATGCGGATCTCTTGTATGCGCGCATAAGGCACTGCCCGGCTTATAGCCAAGAAGCACAAGCCGTAGTCTGACCCCAGAACCATGACAGAGTCGTCATATTCCAGATAGCCGGATCTCTAACCCACCTATCCACACGTGTAGTCACTCAAAATAGAAGCATTACTAGGTCTACTCCTTACCATGACAACCAATGACTCCTTGTGTCACCTACCCCTATTGGACGGACGCCCTTCCTGCTACTGTACAGTACAGTCACTGCTGTTCTCTGATGGTGTAAGCTGAATTGACCTGATAGCCGCGACGACCCCACTTTACCGCGCCATGGGTCAGGAACCAGGGGTCGAGGCCGGGTGCCCGGGATAATCGGGGCCGGAGGTGGAACCTCGGTTCGTGACATCGCGGGGTAGCTACTGACTTATCCCAGATCAATGTTATACCTGACATGAACCAGATTTCTTGACATTCTTATTGAGACATAATACTTCTTACTTCTTTACTGTATAATATAATAGAAAGCTACTTCGTGATACCACCACCCAGCATGATAGGCCCTCCCCCTTTAACCGGCATTAGAGTGTTGGAATTCGCTGGTCTTGCTCCTGGTGGGTTTCCTTACACAATCAATATATCTTACTAACATAACTTCAGGTCCATATGCTGGTATGCTTCTTGCAGATGCTGGTGCCTCAGTTCTTCGCATTGACCGTGCATCGCCTGGTACGTCTGCACCAACAGAGGATATGCTGGCTCGGCACAAAGCATCCATAACAGTAGATCTAAAGTCAGAGCTCGGTGTAGCTCTTATAAAACGCCTGGTCACACATGTGGATGTTCTTATAGACCCGTTCCGTCCTGGAGTTCTTGAAAAACTAGGGCTAGGCCCAGACGTGCTGTGCGATCTGAACAAGAGACTCATTTACGGCAGGATGACTGGTTTCCGTCGCGACGGAAAGTATGCATTCATGGCAGGACATGATATCAACTATCTTTCTGTCTCTGGAGCTCTTGGGATGCTTGGAAGGGAGGGCGAGAAACCACATCCTCCAATGAATATTCTTGCTGACTTTGCTGGTGGAGGTGCTATACTATTCCAAGGAATTCTGATGGCTGTCATATCTAGACAGTCATCTGGACATGGGCAAGTTGTTGAGGCCAACATGGTCGACGGAAGCTCGCATTTAACAACCTTTCCGCGTATGGGGCTCAAGACACCAGTGGGCAACAAAGACAGGGGAACGAATCTCTTGGATGGAGGAGCTCCCTTTTACGACACCTATGAAACATCAGATGCAAAGTACATGGCCGTTGGCGCTCTTGAACCGCAATTCTTCTCAGCCCTCTTACAAGGCCTGGGATTCGCGAAACAAGGCTGGGAAGAGAATCAGCAGGATAGAACACGATGGCCTGAACTGCGGAAATTGATGACCGAAACGTTTCGCAGAAAAACTCGCAGTGAATGGGAGGCGATCTTTGACGGCACAGATGCATGCTGCACTCCTGTACTGGAATATCCTGAACTCGAGACGAACTCTGATCGGGAGGGTGATCAGCGGCCGGCCGTTACGTTGCGGGAAACGCCATGTTTAGCGGTGAAGGAGAGTGTAGGGTCCTTCGATCCGGTTCGATTTGGACAAGGTCCCGGTGTGCCTGGAGATGGATACAAAGCGAACTTGCTGAGACCAGGAGCAGGGGGAGAGGAAGTGCTAAAGCAATGGATGGGGTGGGAGAATGGAAAAGAGTATACACTGTATCAAGGCGGTTTTGTACTGAAGGAGATGTCCAAGTTGTGATTTGAGTTGAGTTGGATGGGCACGGAGGAACCATTTCGCAATTAGCCATGTTTTGATATAGACACTATCATGCACAAGATATGAAGTGTAATAGGGGACTGATTATATATTCTACCTACAAGCCCGCTTTCGCACATTCTTCTGAGCACTTTGATGTGCAAGCAAAAGCAAACACAACAGCGGGAATGGAGCCAGGAAAAGCCCAGCTGTCCGGCCAACACAAATCCTCCATATACTCCCGCTTCCTTGACATCCGAGAAGACAGAACCGCGCCCCATACCCTCTCGTCATATGCATGTACCGAATAATGCATCTCCAATGCAAGTCATTAAGCAGTCTACTCTAGGCCTCCTTCTCAAAAGTAGTGGTATCGAAAGAAATGGGTGATGCTGGGGACGGCGTGACATGGGGGTCAAGAGACAACTGCTATGCGGTGGTCTCCTTGGGCGTTTGGTTCGCGGAGAAAAGAGGCTGAAGATAGGCCCAGCCCGACTTTGAAGGTGTGATGATAAAAAGCTTCGGTCATGAACGACCTCACTGCACTTGGCTGACAATCTCACTAGCTTTCGAGAGAGACTCAACCATCTGCTGACACTCCTTTCTCCGACGGATGGTGAAATCACTCTCCTTCAGGAGATCGTCTAATGTATCAGTTCTGTACATGTTCTCCAACAGCTCTCGCTGCATCTCGTCCTTGGTAAACCTAAACTTGTTGTCAGATCGCATGACAGAAACGAGTGTGTCACAAAACACTTACTGTACAAGGTTCAGCATGACAGCCTTGGGGACCATATCAATCATGGTACGCTTAACAATGTTGTAGTAGGAAGAGATGAGTAGCTCTGTAGATCGGTCAGTGACTTGGTACCGAAGAAGATAGTCTCGAATTTACGTACTAATAACTTCAACCTCAATGTTCTCGCGCTCTGACAAAGTACCAGAGGCCTTCAGGGTTGGAGGAGGGGCTTCCATGGCAGCGGCCTTTTTCTTGTTCTTGGCTGCGAAGAAGCTACCAAAGAAACCTGAGTTGCCAGCACTCTCTGCGTCTGGAACAGTCGGGCTTGCAGCTCGGGGGGTCGAGGCAAGTGGCTTGCCACTCTTGGGATCAACCTGAACAGGCTTGCTAGGGTTGTACCGCTCGTTCACCATTGCCATCGCCTGAACCAGGGTTAGTGTTTCTCAAATAAACAAGCTGAGTGAGACTTTGACTTACTCGGTGACCATTCAAGAAATCAGGATGGCCCGTGTTGACATAACACGATTCCATAGCCACCAAATCTCTAACAAGCTTGTTGGTAGGCTCCATAGCTTTCTTGAAGAAGGCAATGACCACACCGTGCATCTTCTCCTTCAATGAGGGGTATCGTCGGTAAAGCTGCTTACCGAGCAGTTGTGAGAGTATTCGCACCAGCTCATCGTAGACAAGAGAAACACATTTCAAGCTGGGATCTTCCAAGCGCTTGATCTGCTGCTTCACGATCAGCTCAAAGGCAGTGGTGCCCACAAAGAGAGCCGGAGAAGAACCAGAAGAGTTGTAAAGAATTGTACGGATGTCGACATCCTTCACAACGTCGAAGGGATCAATTGCCTTGACACCATTGGAGTAAAGCTCATGGAAAACAAAGCTAATACGGGCACCGCCGGAAAGTTCAGTGCTTGACAGCTCGGTGTTGTTACCGTCCAAAACTGTTCGCCACTCATTGGTGAACTCAGTAATTATGTTGAGAACAATATTAGCGCTGTTGCCAAGCATAGAGGGACCCAGGCTTTCGAGTTCAGCGGAGTACTTTTGAAGAGAGCTGCTGATGCGGGCCTTGATATCCGGCAAGGTCTGCTTGATGTGCATCATAAGAATGAGGTTGAGCTTTCGGGCAAGATAGGGAGTTCCGCAGTATGAGCTCTTGTTACGGTAAGCCTTGTGGTTCTCGAAAAAGTTCTTCTCAGCCTCGAGCGCCTGGTTGATGGCTTTTCGGTTGTCAATATCTCGCTGACCTCGGTTGACAACGGGGACGTAGCCTAATCGAAGGGGGATGACTCGGTTTGACAAGATATCGATAACGTCGGTTCCCTCGTCCATCAGATCGACCTTGGTCAGGACACCGATGGTCCTTTGACCCTCGGGGTCAACCTCGCGCGCCAGCTTGAGACCGTCCGAGTTGGCCAAATCCTGATTGGCAGCAGTGACCGCAAGAATAATAGCGTTCGACTTGCCAATGTGCTTGAGAACCATCTCTCGAATCTGTCGCTCAATATCGCGGGGCTGGTCTCCGACGGGGACCTTGGTGAGACCAGGTAAATCGACCAGGGTCAGGGTGAGGACATTGGGGGAGTAGATACGAAGGTTGATTGGAGCTGGTGAGATGCCAGCATTTCGTCCAACCTTGGCTTCTGTTTCTCGCGAAATTTCGTCTCGGATCTTGGAGAAATCGTAGAACTTCTGCCCAGGGGCGTGCAAGAACTCTCCCCACTCATCGGCGTTGGCCTGCTTGTCGTTACTGGTATCAACTTCCTCTTCCTTGACACCATTGCTTTCCGCGGGACGGTTGATGAGCTGAAGGACGAGGGGACGTCGAGTTACGATACCGGAGCCTCGGGGCAAGCTGAGATGATCAGTCAGTTCCATATCCATACAGACGCAACGCAGAACAGGCGGTATGCGGCAGACTTACAAGTCTCGGCCAACGATATTCTCCAAAACTGAACTCTTTCCGCTGGACTGACTTCCTACGACGGCGATTTGAGGCAAGTCGATAGGATTGTTAACACCAACAGTGGCGAAAACATCCTGAAGTTTGTTGACGAGTCTATCGTCGGGAGTTAGAGGTAGGACATGGTAGCAGTTACAGCAGGAACTAACGTGATCAGGGCAGGATCCGAGATTCCACCCTGTGCAGCAAGGGAGTTGCTCATCTTCAAGTATCGTTTCCCAGCTCTTATATACGCTCAAAGTGTGTGTGTAGCGGTATCGAGTCGAGAACGGATGGTGAGGGAGGGGGTCGATGGTTGAGTTTCGGAAAGCGGTCGACGTGGAAGGCGGTAGGAAATGTTGCGCAGGCTTGACTAAAAGCGTTACAACAGCCCTTTTCTATTTTGAAGGGCAACGCTTAAGTAGAGCGTGGGAATAGACCAGCGTTTGGGAGAGGCAGTTCCTTGTATATGGGAAATACGTAGTGTTGGTAGAATAAAGGAGGGACTCACAAGACGACACCGAGTTCACGAGCCTAATGGCACTAAGAGTGTTGCGCGCCGCATTACGTCCTTAGGTTGTGCCACAAAGTGGCGCAGTAGTGTACAAAATCACAGTTGGCGAAGGAAGGCACGTGACAGGCGAGACTACCTTACCTATACTGTGGCTGAACCAGCTGTTGACAATTCGGTAGCCTGAAGAAGACGTCAGCCCATGATAGCATTTGCATGATATAGATCGGTGCCTGATATTGTAGAATGCCTACGGAAGACACCCCAAGTGACCAAAACTTCAAATACGTGGTCGTTTAGGCAGCCTTATTGCTGGAGGCCTCGATACCCAACTCTTGACTAACATCCACTGTTTCACGAATCAAGATGTCACTAGAAAGTTGACTCAGACACATTTGGAAATGTAGGCAAGTATGGCCATCTTGATTTAAAAAATAAATAAGGGTCTATGAAAAGGTGATGGTATGCTTGAGCTGATTAAGCCGTTGATGGGGCATTTCACTTACAACGACGAACCGTTGAACTCCTGGTCTTCCCGGAGAATATCGGCCAGATAAACTACTAAGGTATGAAGATATACAATATCAGCTTATGTTCATCAATCAACCGAAATCACGCACATCGATTTAGATGCACCGCTTTTGAAAAGGGTTATGCGTGTGATATCAGTCCCCAAGGTACCTATGCAAAGGAGCTGTGGGTCATTTGTAGTCACAAGGGATACCGATAAGAAGCTAGAGTCCGTCTTTATGAGAACGGAAAAATGGCGGTGTCTGTAGGTCAGTTCAGTTCCAAGCGACAAATACTTGGAGTGTGGATAGTAGGCATCAGGCTTTACAGCAGTTATCCCTTAAAGCGTGAGATATCACCTGGCATAATTATAAAGAGTCATCCAGGAATGGTACCTATGTAGTTGAAGCGCATCTCAACAAGATAGCGACGCTGAAAGGAAATGGGATTCAAACGTCATCAGTTAGTGGCTATGATAGTAGCTGGAGGTGTGGGGGGTAACACCGCATCATGAGCCGAGACGCTAACTGGGAAGAAGAGTTAAAGAGAGAGTTTGTATAAAATGTATCAATGGACCAAGCCAACGTTACGATGTGAATAGGTACTAGTTAGGTATCTCTTTATATATTTTCAAAAAGTTTGGACTCATTATTGCATTTTGCTTACCAGACTTACATGCTGGGCTCTCATCCGGATTAAACATATCGGTTCTTATACTGCGCGAATGCACTAACTGGTAAGGGTCTCTCTAATCGATACTGGGCATAGTGGTATTGGATCTTAGTACTGTATTGCCTCTGTTGCTGTCCTCAGTTTGCGAAGTCAGTCAAGACTATTGTGCATCAAGACAATCAGGATCAGACCTAGAGGATATTATATCTGTCCTCTGTCTTTTGTTCAACCTTATTACCCATCCATTGTATCATGACTCCGATATACTCGGGGAGGTCGGGTTGTTCAGTCACTAAAGACCATTGGAGCTCCAGGGGTAAGCTTGCGTTGCAGGTGTGCTGTACCCCTCCACTTTGCTCAAGGTCCACGGGTGTCTTAGGTAGGTCTAGTACCTACAGTAAGCCCGTGTTGTTAGGTGGTATGTCCTTCACCGGGAACTACCCACACTGAGGACGCCAAAATAAAGTAGCTTAACTACCAGTTTAAACTCGGATAAGTGAGCATATTATTTTGTCTCCCACGCCGTTGACGGTTAATTCTTATGATATCCTGATCCTACACCTACGTACCTGTAGCTTACCTTCCACCGGGCTGTCTGCCTGCCCGTCTAACGAAACAACAGACAGAACGGGGAGTACCTTACCTGCACAGACGCTTCTACTTTAACCACAACACATCAACAACACCTACGTTCCTCATCAAATAAGTTAGTACCTACCTACCTTGAAAGACATAATAAGTTCCTCTGGTACCTTCCTCTCATCGCCTTAGAAACGCATTGCCCCGTCACATGCCACATCCTCCTCATTCTCCTACTCCTACTCCGACTTCTAACCTTAGCACAACCAACATCAATCATTCCTCCGCCGCCCGCTCGACTCAAAGCTCCAACCCTCGCTCAAACCATCAACAGAACCGGAATCAAGCTTGGACTGGCACCGCGAATATAGATAATTCGGCTGCCTACCTTGCACGACTTCCGGGTCAGAGTCAGACACTCGGACGACGTCAACGCTCCCCAGCTTCTGACGGCCCCCTCGACCCCCAGACCGATAGTTCTCAAGCGCCAGGCGACGACCTTGGCGAGCCGCCCACCAAACGACGGAGAGCGAACGACACGATGGGCGGGAGCGACATCCCCGATCCCCATAATGGGGCTCCTCTGGGCGTCTCTAATGGCTCGACTGGACCATCATCTATGGGGGTCACCAATGGTCACAAAACTGCCGTAAATGGTTCAGCGACTCGCGACAATAACAGCACAACCACGAAAGATAATGGCATGCCTTCCAAATACTTCGGTCACAACCGCGAGGAGGTCACTCGGCTGTTGATACAAGCACTGTCAGATATGGGTTATCAAACAGCAGCGGACAACGTAAGCCACGAGAGCGGCTGCGAATTAGAAAGTCCTACTGTAGCTGGCTTCAGATCGGCCGTGCTTAACGGTTTATGGTCCAAGGCCGAAGAGTTGCTTGCTGGGGCGTCGTTCGAGGCCGAAAGCCAAGGGAACGGGCTTGTTCTGGCGCCAAGTGCAGACCGTAATGCCATCAGATTCTGGCTAAGACAACAAAAGTTTCTGGAGCTTCTAGAGCAGAAGGACACCAGCAGGGCTCTAGTCGTTCTCCGAAGTGAGCTGACACCCGTTTCTCACGACATAGCGAAACTGCATTTCTTATCAAGTCTCTTAATGTGTCGTTCTGTTGACGACCTCATGGCAAAGGCGGATTGGGATGGCGCAAACGGCCAGTCTCGAAAGCTGTTGCTCTCCGAGTTATCGAGTAAGCATTCCCCAAACAATACCGCATGATTTAGCTCTGACACAGCAAGAATGCATATCGCCTTCGGTAATGCTCCCCGAGAATCGCCTTGCAGTTCTTCTTGAGCAAGTTAAGCAGAGTCAGATAGACCATTGTTTATACCACACTCAAGCACTATCGCCGTCGCTTTATTCAGACCACTCTTGCGACAGGAGATGGTTCCCAACGGAGGTGGCACTGGAGCTTCGCGACACGATTGGCGAGATTTGGCAGGTAAAGTTCTCCAATGATGGCTCGAAGCTAGCTGCTTGTGGCAGCGGTAGGCAAGTTGTGATATGGGAAACACGCACATTCTCCGTGGCGGAGATTCTTGATGATCACGAAGACGGCGTCGGTAACATCTCGTTCAGCCCTGATGATTCCATGATCTTATGCTGCGCCAGAGACGGTTATGCAAGGCTATGGTCCACCAATGTGAGTCATCACTTGCTATGGGTTGTGACGGCTGTGAGCGTGCTGACATTATGAACTAGGACGGGCATTTGATCAGACAGTTCAACAGGTTCACAGAGCCTGTCAGCGGTGCTGTCTGGGCTCACGATAATCGCTCATTGATTCTCGGTACATTGGATCCTACTTACAGCTTGCGCACCATAAACCTACATACTAATGAGGAACACGACTGGGGCAAGAAGCACCGTGTTGAAGACCTGTGCGGGTCGCCTGATGGCCGATGGCTCGTGGCTCTTGACAACGAAAGAAAGATTCATGTTTACAACGCCGCTACACGGGAGTTGGAGTTTGATATGGAGCTGAATGAGCGGCCAACGTCTGTCAGCATCAGCCAAGACTCGCGACATCTGCTCATTAACAAATCTGACGATGAGGCTCAACTCATCGATCTAATGACACGTAATTCTGTGCAGAAATTCTTTGGGCACACAGGTGGCGCTTACATGATACGAAGCTCCTTTGGCGGTGCTAACGAAAGTTTCGTTTTGAGTGGCAGCGAGGATGGGAATATCTTGATATGGCACAAAAATACTGGTGCAGCGGTAGAACGACTGCATGGGCACCTTGATCGTTGTAATTCTGTTGCCTGGAATCCTGTCGATCCGTATGTCATAGCCTCTTGCGGAGACGACGGGTATGTAAAGATGTGAGTACAGTATTCTTCTTTTTCTTCCTTCTCCTTCTTCCTTCCTCCTTCTTTTCTTCTTGATACAGTTGCTATGGGCAATCTCTACTGGCTGTCACCCATTGGGTTTCACCCTGCTTGGAAGAAATCAAATTTACTGTTGACACTGCCGAGGATAATGGTTCAGCTGAAAGTCGAAAAGAGGAGGAAGAAGAAAGTTCAATTGTTGCAGCTGAATAGAGATGGCTGACAGTCGTATAGATGGACCAACAAAACCCATAGCGGCGAAATCCGAACTCGACATTTTCAAAGCCGTGCTAGCAATACGCACACATGGGACCGAGACGAGAGATAGTCTGATATGTGATGCCAATCTGTTGGGGAAACGAGATCAAGGAACAGGCAAAGGTCGATAACAAAGGCTTGAACTAAATACATACATAGGCTTAGCGAATGAATACATAAATATATGAATAGCCCAAGAGCCGGTCTAAATCCCCATAAAATAACCAAATTATTTTATCTCATGCTCTCGATAGTTGACTTGCCTAAACACCATGAAGTAACTGAATTGCTTTGTCCCTTCTGCTCCCTACGGACAATCGTTCTGATAACGTGATGACTGCCTTAAACATATAGCTCAAACCAGGCAGCACTTAGTTTCTGACTATGGTATCTATGATATCTAGGAACCTCGCTGTATCCCCTGGTATCCTTCAACATCCAATATGGAGTTAATACTTCATGATTTAGAAGTGGAGGTGCTGTGGAGTGACGGACGGGACGAGGAAACAAGTGAGTACGTAGACAGTGGCGAATGCTTAAAAATGAAAAGGTAAAGACTGCGGACCGAAGACATAGGATAGCTGAACAACCTGAGCTAACTCGGGCTGTGTAGAACCGAACCCCAATTAGAGGGGTCCTGTACCTGCATGATCCTACCTAACTTACGTATAATACTGGGACCAGGGCACATGGGTGATGGCCGTCTCAAGCATGGGAAGGCACGCCATTTGTGCATTACAGAGATCGAAGCCAGGCTTATTGAAGGAAGCGCACCGTAGCCAACTCGCGGTGGAGTGATATGGTACGATGTCGTGTTCAATACAGTAGGCGAATGTTCTAACGGTCAGAACCACGAGGTTCATGTTGGGCGACGGGCGGTCAGTAACCCTCTTGCAAGGGACCTGGGAACTGAGGCAATCTGATGCCTCGTGGTTACCGAGACAATATTGATTCGCGATAGCGTACTAATTAGTCAAGATGATCGGCGATGCGACTGAGTTTTCTAACCGGATTCCTGAGATAGAGGGGTTATTAGATCGATATGTATGTGCTTCAGGGCCCCAAGATCCGAAATCTTTGTATTCCACCTGAAGTTCGAGATCGAAATAACACGGACCGTACGTGTTTTACTGTAGACGACTAGTACAAGACTGATGCGAACTAGTCCCTGTGTCTTGGTTTGACGTGGGCCTAATGAGTGACGCCTTGTGAGTTGGAAACAGAGACTCAAACGTGTTTGCGATGGTACTGTACTTCGCTGATCGTCATGAAGAGGCACAACAAGTATCCTGCGGATAAATGATATGTCACTGAATGCGTCAATATTAAGATATCTTGATAATCTGCAAGAATAAAATAAGTGGCAGTTGATAGAGCATGTACGTATTCGGAAGCCTCAAAAAAAGATTGCATGCGTGGACCGACAAGGTCGTTCTTTGACAGCTGTGCGTGAATACTGTTGTTTATTGCGTAAACCACCGAAGAGCTTCGGACGTGCTGTGTTAAATGCGGCTTGTTTCCGTGTAGTCAATCCTGATGCTTGCACATCCTATCATCTGTAAGTGTGTGGACGCAGCATCACGACATGGGGGCAACTGATGTTGGTGTTGTCTGTCAAGCGCTCTGTTCGTCCCCTGGCTTTTTGATATCCTTGTCAAGCCTTAGGTGACCTGTGCATTATCGAGCCACGCTCCGTGGACGCTTTCACCCCTGAAGCTAAAACACTATATCCAGAGGACGTGCGCAGCGAGGCGGAGGATACGCACCGCCGAGATGTAAACAAAGGACCGAAGGAAACGCAAATAACCTACCTGTGTAGCAATTAGACATCTTGGAGAAAGGATCAAGCAGAGAGTATGTTGAGATTAGCAGCACCAATTCCACTGTAAAGCCCGAATATGAAAGGGAAATTATCATTCTGTTTCGAGTAATAAGGGATGGCATTGTCCCGAAGAAGCGAGGATAGAAACGTCTCGGTAGTTAATGGACTTTGGCAACATTGATGGAGATGACAACTGCTTTGGGTAGGGCGTCACAAGAACCCAGCTGCCCAGGTACCGTGATGTCAACTGACATATTGAGACCCTGAAATATCCCGGGAGTTTGAATTTCCTCTATCCCTTGTCTGCAAGTCAAGGGCCAGGGACTAGGAACGGCCGACGAGTCGACGACAGGTTGTTGATTGCCTATCAGTTTGCGCATCTGCCGTGACGAAAGCTCATGTGAGCGGCCATAGTCTGTTAGAAATAGAAGGATGACTTGGAGCAGATTTACGATCTCAACTGGTTCTTGTATATATCGACACTCCAAAGTCTGCAGACACTGAAAACTGTAAGCCAAGTACGACTACGTAGTGTGTCGTGGCCGACCTTGGCGCTATAGCCGAGACGGATTCTTTGACTAATGGTGTTAGTCGGTGGAGTTAGAACGAGGTTGAAGAGAATGCCGAGGTAAAGAAGAGGGAGGAAAAAAAGAGCTTTGGCTCACGATGGAGATGAGTCAGGAGCTGGATTTTGGCTCTTGAGATCTCAAAGCCAGCGCGGGAGGGGCCGGCGCCGCGTCTGAAAGGTACAGTATGGTGGTTAATTATCGCCTTCTGGGCTGTACAGACAACCAACCAACCATGTACAGTTCGTATCATGGATCTCCGATGACACCTCAGACCTGTTAGCGCGATGTCACAGCACCAACGGCTTAGCTTTTGTTCAGTGCTGACCACCATGAATCTCTGAGGGCGTCGTGGCGTAGGATCCAACGAAATTTCAGTCATATTGCGGAAAACGTCAGCCGGATGAAGGCAACTGTTGAAGGCAACTGTTGAAGTCGGTCAGCAATGGGTTTCCTTCTTCCATCTAAGTGACTTATTACCGGCAGTGAGCACTGCAACAAAGCAGACCTTTGCTTTTTTCGATCCATTGTGGGAGATCCATGATCCATGCAGATAATACGCAGATGACATAGGTACCGCGCTGCGGACAGTACCGTACCGTACTTTGGGAAACAACAAGCATGGATCTACACGCACGGGCATCAGAAGGAGAGACCCTAGAGACTCTATTCATCATGTCTCAAGCACAGGCCCTGCAAGGTTGGGTAGGTTGTTGGGTCAGATCCCGTTGAATCGGACAATTTGGTAAGTATCCAATGTACTGACGGTAAGGTAAGTAAGTGCCTGGTACTAAGGCAGGCAGAACATGTTATTCCCCTGAACAGAAAGGGTGAGATGAGGGCCAAAAAAGCCGAAACTTGAGATGAAGTAGTACTGCTACCAGGCTGCAAAGAGCAACAGCGGTGCGGAAGCATGCTCATTACTAGGTACCGCACCGCACCGTACCGTAGGTCGCGGCTTGTGGTCCACACCGAGCCATAGTACGGACACTGTAATGTACATGGAACAGGAGAGAGATGATAGATCGGACTAATGCAGCCTTTGCAGACGCAATCTGGCAGTCTTGCCAGAAAGGCACGACCCTGAGTCGTGTGCTAGCAAAGGAAAGAATCGACTCCACCTGCAGATCTCCGTGTTTGCGTTGCACCTTCTGTATTTCCAACGAATAACAAACCTACCTACCTAGGCACCTTTAGTATTTTCGAAATGCTCTTATACTGATATAAACAGGTCCAAATGCAGGATAAGGCAGTCAGTTGAAAATAATTTTACCAATATATACAAGTAACGATCAATTATTTCTTAGATACCTAGTCAGTAGGTGCTGACCTCGATTCAATAATATTTATCCCATAAGTATTATCACCTTACCCGAGTCAGTTTTGCGGGCAGGATTGGCATCGATTACTTACTAAACGCTAGCTTCTCAAGAATTACCTATAACTGGAAAGTGTGTGCTTTGATTCTTAGGTACTAAAGGTACTAAGCATGCAGACATACAACTTGCAGGGTCTGACACAAAACAAAACAATACAATACTATATAATATAATACAGATCACACCCGTCAAACAAGGCGTACATATCGTGCCGCACTTGTGTAGGTACTGTAATGTCTGGGCGTCTATTTTAGACTTTGTAACATCTCAATAATACAGTCAGTAGCGGGCATGGATATGGATGCCTACCTTAGTAGGTACGCTCAGTCCTCCCACCTAAAACCAACATTGCTGTCCCTGAGCTAAGCTAAAAGTTTGTAGCCATACCTACAGGACCAGTATCCATAACTGCCTTCTTGGGCAGGTATAGCCAACATTGGGATACAACAAATGTCGTTACTGTCCCTGCCTGCCTCAGTATCCAAAAAAACCAAGAAAAGATGCCGAGGCCGGCGAGGTGAGGCATTCCCTTCCCTTTCCCTTCCTTCCCTCGGTTCTTTCTTTCTTTCTTTCTCTTCCATTTCTGTTCGAGACGTTAATCTCGCCTGATTCCCTGTCCAGCTTTCCTCCGTACCTGCCTTAGCACCAATCCACCCGCATCACGCCTCGCACTTTTCACCCCCAGTCCTCCATCATGGTGGGGTCCTGCTCTAGTGAACCTCGTGCTAACCCTGAATGTCTCATCCAATATGGATAAGCTAAGACCATGTTGACATGGTCCCTTTCCTCCCGCATCCGTCCCATCCCATGCCATGCTTGCCATGATCCATCCCATCCCATCCATCATCTCCTTCAACCAAAGAAAAAAGCAGGGGTCGGCCAAGGTCGGTTAAACAAATCCAATGGAAGAAAGGAAGGAAGCAACCAAACAAGTCAATTACCAGTCCCAGCTGGACCTGATTGTCTAGACTAGACTAGCTGCCTGTCAATCAATCAATCAATCAATTAATCGGTCTTAAGTCCGTCTATACATCGATTGGCCTTGAGCCAGACTTGTTGTCCTACACCACTCTCGCTCGTTAAGGTTTCCACCTCAATCATTACCTATCCTACTCTTCTTTTTACTCTACTGTATGTTCAGCGTGGAACGGCTGCAGTACGTACTGCATTAGCACCTACCTCTACCTATAAGCTGGCAGACTGCTCCCCGGACATCTGCTGCCCGTCGCCGAACAGCTGCCGAACCTTCCATTCTCCGGCCGAGTCGAGTCCCCTTTAGCTTGCATCCGGTTGCCACCAACACCATTGGATCTTTCGATTCCTTCGATTTTTCTTCTTCGCATTCCGCGTCAACGGCTCCTTTGGCATCGTATTTGTTTTGCACTCCCCTCGTTGTCGATTGGCCATAGCCTTTTTGTTTTTGTTCATGAGAGCCCGTTTATTCGTCGTTTTCCTTCCTCGCTGGGCTATCTCGTCCCATAATACACTCTCGTCCATGATTCCTTTCTCATGATGCGACTGTGATTCCACTCGCTTTCTTGCTCTTTTTTTCATTCCCTTATTTTTCAGCACTTTATGATCCCCTGGCCCAAATTGTACCGTGAATCTTCTTAACCATTGCACTATTTCTTGTAGCGGTCACTCATCATGGATAATTTGGAAGGGATGCTCATGGTTCCTCCCGAACGGGGCCAGATCCTCGGAAGAGCTGTTTGGAAGGTTCGTCAGAATAACCCCCGCCGAGAACCTCCCCATTCCTGTGCTTTTGACTGACTCTGATCCGAAAAGCTGCGATATGTTGTCGTAGGAAGACGTAACACGAGGCTTGGTCCTAGTCAACCACAGTCGATATCTAACGGTCGCAATAACAGCCTTGGAGGCAACAGATCTTTCCCCAAACTACCTATAGAAGAATCGTGCATTCTCATTTACAAGCACAAGGTATATATACCTCCCAAATCTTATTATGCCCGTCGCACCATTCCAATCCTGTCATCTTTGGTGCCATCAACTGACCTCGTTTGGATTCCAGGAGGATACTGAACCAATACAGCAATGGGCGGTAAATTCTATCACGGACTGTCAAGTCCAGCAGATCAACCATCGAAAGCAAGGCCCCGTTCTTCCTACACTCGTCATTTCTATAGTCGATAAAGAGAAAAAGCGCCGTTCCAGTCGAGCTGCTGGTCTTATATCATCGAATAAAGAAGCTAACGCTACAACTCTTTGGTTCCGCACGCCCCCGGACGATCACCATCTGAGTTTACACGAGTGGGCGCGCAACATTCTTTCCAGGAAGTCCCCAATGAGTCCAGAAAGCCCGATGTCGCCCCAGTTCTCAAATCCATTTGCATCTATGTCCCGCGATACTTCTGAATACTTCTCCCGCCCGCCTAGTGGGAATCGATCCGGCCGTTCTGATCCCCGAAGCCTTCAGCATAAAAGCTCGACTACTACTCAATCAACATCAACCACTACCACTACCACAACTAGAGAACGACCTCTCACATTTAGTTCCGAATCGCCCAGCCTACGATCGAAGCGCAGTGACATTTCTTCGCCTTCAAGCAACAATTTCCCAATCCAGCAAATGAACTTTCCAGTTCCTGGCCAACACTATACCACAGTCCTCCCAACTGATCTGCCATCTCCTGTCAATACCACAGGGGACTACCAAGGAGAATTCATTGAAGGCTGGACATCCGCTCAAGGTAGATCATCGACGATGAGTTCGCCCATCCGAGGACGTAGTAGCATTGGCTCTCAACCACCACATCCTTCCATTGCCACGGTTGAATCCAGCTCTCCACCTGGACCCCGTGAGACTATTCTCGACCGGGCTTTTCAAATGCGGTGCATTCCTGGCTCGGAACGGGAGGTTCCTGGCGAGGAGAAACTGAGCTCCTTGGCTCGGTTCGATGCATTGATGCGCGAAGCTGATGACAAAATCAAACAGAGGGAAGAAGCTGAACGAGCTCAGCAAATGGCAATGCGAAGTGCTTTTGAGGCTTCCGATAGTTCCAGCGACGAAGATGATAGTGATTCGGATGATTTGGACGAAGGAGCATATGGTGGTGTGCCTGATCGAAGAGGACCAGCTTTGATACCCTCAACGCAACGTGCCCTTCAATTTATCGCTGATCGTGGGGACCCAGCACCTTTGTCGCCTTCTACTCGTTCTTCGGTGTCGAGGGCCCCTATACTACAGCAATCCCCCCCGATGAGACCTCATACGGCACATGCGAAAACTCGACCAAGCCCTACACAGCGAACAAATAGTACACCTCACTTGATCGCCAACATGGCCAGGTTGGAAGTGACAACATCCGCCAAAAAAGTGTCGGATGATTCCTCAGTGAGGTCGAGTGGAGATAAACGTCTATCCACGTCGAGCACTGCTACCAAAAGGTTTGAGTTTTACTGAATTTATCAAACGTTTATTGAGCACCAGAAGCTTACTTTTTGCCTAGACGGACGCTAGTAGGAGGAGTTCCTGGTGAAGCAGCAAGGTCGACCTCCAGCCCACGCCCATTCCATGTCGGACACTGAATTTGTGACTACGTATCATCAACTCAGGATCACGTCCGAAACTTGAACGATGAAATGCAGAAGTTAGATGGCGCAACAGCATAGTCGTCATCGGGGGAGATAGAACGCCTCTTTCGAAATCACCTTAACGAGTAAGGATGTTTCGAAATGTTCTGACGACTACCCGACTCGATTCTACGACACAGTTGGACCACCAAAAGCAGTAGCTACCTTAGGACCTAAGGTGGTTTATCTTGGTGTATAGCAGTCTAACAGACACCGATCAAAGCCTTGATGATGTTTAGGAAAGATTGGACCTTGTTTCTGCCGCAGTGCAATTAAAAGATATGTTGAAATGAGCAGTTTTGGTGCATCTTCGATGCTTTGTACGATCTTGATACCAGACTATGGCATCGTCATAATGACTCTTATGATGGAGATTGGGGGACTATTGGATTGATTGGTCCCAGGCGCTTTTTGACGGTTGACTCATTTTGGTCTCCGTAAACATCGGTCGGTGTTCTTTGTGTCTAGATGTTTGACACGGCAAAGACTAGAAGTGTATCACGTAGCACGTCGCGACTATCGCCAGTGTAGTTCGTCTGCAACAGCGTTTCTGAAGAACAGCATTGTTATTTGATAATAAAACTTGGAGTCATATTTAGCTCCGCAACTTGCACTGGCAATAAGAACAAACCACAATTTGCTCAGCGAAATTCTCTGAAATCTGTAGCTATACCGTGCATGGTATGTCGTGGCATTTATTATTTCTAGTTTAGTTTCTCTGTTGTCGCTTTTAATATTTGGTGTAATCAATCCATTGTATTCGCAAACCCTTTTCGAAGGGTGGTATCCTTAGTAAATCCTATCCTCGGGGCCCCCTACAGCGCAGCAAACAGAACTGCTCATGATCCTTGTTCGTTTTACACATATCGCTCGTAACGATAAAGCAACCTCGTTGCCTTATCGGATGTACTTGACGATGGCCTCTTGTTCATCGGGGTTGAGTCGCTCACCAATGAAGCGCTCAACAGCACCACCGTGTCGCTGGTTGGCGCTGACCATGTACTCCTTTACCCACTTAGTAACGTCGAGAATCTCAGGGAAATCATCCTTGGCCAAAGGCTTGCAAGTGTTGAGCGCGGTGAATGACATGCCGAAGCCAATGTCGTCAACATCCGCCTCAGCAACAACTTCGTCACCACCAGCAGCCACAGTCGGTGGGTTCACCAGAAGTGAAAGTAGCTTGCGGCAGCTGTTGGCCCATCCCTTCATGAACTGTTGAGAAAAGGCTTGCGAGTCACACAAGGTCTTAGTCAATGACACAACTGCGACCTTTCGATCCACGGGACGAGCGAGTCGCTCTGTCTCGGCTAGGACGAAAGCAGGATAGACTTTAGTGAAAACGCCCTCCTCGATCGTGTTCGATTGCTTGATGAAGTAGTCGGCGCCATAGCCCGCCTCGAGACGAGCCGATACAAGGTGGTAGAAGCGAACAAAGCGGAGCTTGAACGCTTCAGAGGGAGACCCTTGTAGCTTGGTGTAAACCAACCTAAGGATTGTACCAAAATACTGCTCCAATACAGCGCTGTGGCGGGATATTAGTTATTGCATCCTGTGAGTTAGGTCTTGGAACTTACGGCTCAAAAGTCTTGATGATAGAATCGAGGATATCGAAGGCGAGCAGCTCAGACTTCTTGGAGTTGAGAAGTCTCTGGAAAATGCCAAGCACGGGCTCAAGCTGGTTTTCAGCCTGGATCGCCTGGGATGCCCGAGGAATGACAGCAGACAATAGGCGAGTGCATGCAGGAACATTGCCTCGAGTTTCCCAAAGAGTAGGACTCAATAGAGGGCCAAGCAGGGCCTTGTAATTATCCGAGATAGTCTCTGATGGACTGGATTCCAATAGCTGAGCGAGGATCTGGAAAACGTATTGCATGAATTCTAATCGTACGTTAGTAAGTTACAAACTGTTTTTTTTTTTTTTTTT